ATTTTATTGTTAATCTTCTGGATTTCTGATTGCTGTCTCTCTATGCATTCTTGCAGCCTGTTAAATTTGTCATTATGCTCTTCTCTTTTTAATTTCCTGTATTGTGTGTTCTGCATTTTGCTTACTTTCCTTCCTAATTTCTTGCAGAGTTCTGTATATTAATCTTTTGTATTCTGCCTCTGGTAATTCCAAGAAGTTTTTTTCTTTTGGAAAATTTCTAGATTCTTTATTTTGGGAGCTTGCTGAAGCCATCATGGATTGCCTCTTTATGTGATTTGATATTGACTGTTGTCTCTAAGCCATCAATAAGTTATTATATTTATTTTATGTTTGCTTACTATGTCCTAGCTTCTTGTTTTGTTTTGATATGCCCAAATAGGCTGCTCATATGAGCTAGTTTAATTATTGGCACCTTTGAAGCTCTAATGTCCTGTCACCAGGTGGTTAGATCTGTTACTAGGTACATAAGCTCGGGAGTCCACCCACTCCTCCTGTATGGATTCAGCTCAGGTGCCCAGGTAGATAGCCACCAAGTCTGTGGTGTAGGCTCTCACTTACAGTCCTAGACAGGCAAAGGTGATTGGTGTAGGCACAGGCATCTGGCTGCAGTAGGGGGACACACTCTGAGCAAGGCAGGGGGCTGACGGCTGCCCCCGAGTGTCCAGGAGGAAGGCGTGTCCCTGTTCCCTAGAGTGCGTAGGTTGATGGGTTTTGCAACTGGACTATGAGCACCTAATGCTGTTGGCTGTAAGGACTGGGGGCACCTCTTATTTATGGGTCCCTATCGCAGGTGGCTAGGTGGCATGGGTGGAGCCACCAGTCCTCAGGCCCCTGATGTGGGTAGGTGAAGACCCTGCTTAATGGGCAGAGAAGTGTCAAATGTCAAGAACCTGCCACTTCACAGCTGAAACAGTTGAAGTTAGACTTCAGGTATATACCCTGTTGTACTGTGGTAATGAGGGCCTTCACTGTTGAAATGGGCCCACACAAGTCTATGCAGGGGGAAAGGCACTCAAAGTCTGTGGATCCCTTATGCCTGTGCCTAGGCAAAGGAGCTGTGCCTACCCTGGGTTCCTGGCTTAGGGGAGCTGGCAGTTTATTTTTCCCCGTTTGTTAATTTGTTCACTCTCCAAGGTAGGGAGAATGGCTCCGGGTGTGTGACTGATCCTGCTTCTGGCCCAGGGGACTCAGCAATTGCCGGAGATGGTCCAGGACCCAGTGCAGAGCAGGCAGCGGGGAGGTAAATGAGAGAGAGGTTTTTCCCTAAGAGGGGTGTTTTTGATCCATGCAGTAGGCCATATGCAAGTACTTACCTTTCGCCGATCCAGGGCTGCTTCTCACTGGTTCTGGGTGGCCATGTAGACTCTCTGGCACTGGGTCTTTCTCAGTGCGGAAAACGTGCCTCCCAAGCACTGCCGCCTGCCTGCCTCACCGCTCACCCCCGAGCTGATCAGGCCTGAAGGGCTCAGGCTCTCGCCAGGTCAGGTCTGGCAACTCTTCGCTGCTTCCAAACCATCTCTCCCTCCCCCTGCCACTCAGTCCGGTTCTTCAACTCTGCCTTTGATGTTCAGGGCTCCCAGATTGCCATATATAATCGATTCACTTGTTTTTTCTGGTCTTTGATGTAAGAGGGTCCACTGGAAGTGTCCGGCTACTCCGCCATCTTGGCCACACCTCTGTAGGACACAGAGTATTTAGATGTTTGGGAGAAAATGGGAAAGGGCACTGTAAAATGAAGGGACTTCATGAGCAAAGCAGAGAGATTCCCAATGGTTAGAGCTTCTGCTAGGCGCAAGAAAAGGATTCTATGTGGCTGCTTCTTAGGGTGCAAGAGAACTTGGGAAAGGTGAGTTGGGGCTGGATTATCAAGTACCTTGAAAGCTCATCTTTAGCCTATAGATGATGGTGAACTATCAGAAGATTATTTTTTGGTCATTTTTCAAAAAAACTCTGTTATTTGATTCTTATAACAGGCAGGCAAGGATCAGGTCATTGGACTAATGAGGAAAATAAAGATTAAGTGACCTCCTCAAGGTAGCTGGCAAGTCCATGATGATGGTGGTAGTAATGAAAATAGTAACAGCTAACATTTATTGAGTATTTTCTATATGCCAGGCTGTGTTCTTAGCACTTTACATGCATAATTTCACTTATTCCTCTTAACAACAATAGGAAAAAACAAAAAAACAAAAAACAGTTGCCCTTGAGTCAACTCCAACTCATGATGACCCCATGTGTGTCAAAGTAGAACTGTGCTACATTGGATTTTCAATGGTTGACTTTTCTAAGTAGATCACCAAGCCTTTCTTCCCAGTGACCCCTGGGTAGACTCGAACTTCCAATCTTTCAGTTAGCAGCTGAGCACGATAACCATTTTCAGTACAGGAATTTTACCATAAAAAATAGGTACTACTATTATTCCCATTTTAAGGAGCCATGGTGGCACAGTGGTTAAAGTGCTTGGCTGCTAACCAAAAGGTCAGTGATTTGAACCTACCAGCTGCTCTGTGGGAGAAAGATGTGGCAGTCTGCTTCTGTAAAAATTTACAGCCTTGGAAACCCTACAGGGGCAGTTCTACTTTGTCCTGTAGGGTCACTATGAGTTGGAATTGACTCGGAAGTAATGGGTTTGGTTTTCTGGTATTTTCCCCATTTTACAGATAAAGAAAACTGAGGCACAGGGCAGTTAGGTGACTTACCCAAGGACACACAGTTTGTAAGGAGTAAGGTGAGGAATTGAACCTAGGCCATCTAGCTCAACCTGTGCCTTTAGCTGCTGCCTTCTAGAAAGCTGGGATTTTTAAACAGGCAAGTGACCCGTACCTACACTGGCTACAGCGTGGAGGATGACTTGAAGGGGAGAGAAACTGAGGATAGCAAGACCAGGGGGGAGACTGTTGTAATTGTCCAAATATGTTGATGAGAACCTAAGTTAGAAACAAGTGAGAGCTATTTGGGAGACAGCCTTAGAGCACAGTGGGGATAGAACATAGCACATTATATTTGGCAGTCTGTCTCCTTCACTAGAATGTAAGCAACTTGAGGGCAGGGAGTGCCTGTCTTGTCCACTTTATCCTCTAGCACTACATCTGCATCTTGAACATCCTAGGTGCTCAATATATATTTGTTGAATGAATTAGAGGAAGGCATCTGAGTGACTCCAAATGTTTGCCTTGAGCCTGGGGGACTGGTGGTGACTGTTCCTCAAGGCAAGGAAGGCAGGCATTCAAGCAGGGTAGGGGATGTTGCAGAGATTCTTTTGAGTTGGAGGCATGTTAAGTTTGTTTGGCAGTTAGATATAATCATAGCAAACACTTTTGTAGACTTACTCTGTTCTAGGCACTGCTTAAAGTACCTTTTGCCTTTCATATAGAGGTATCTTTGTTATTGGAGCCCTGGTGGCATCGTGGTTAAGAGCTTGGCTGCTAGCTGAAGGGTCAGCAGTTCTAATCTACCAGCTGCTCCTTGGAAACCCTATGGGGCAGTTCTACTCTGTCCTATAGGGTCGCTATGAGTCCGAATCAAATCAATGGCAACGGGTTTGGTTTTGTTATCCAAAATCAGGAACTGAATAGATGTGGATATCAAGAGGTATTTAAATGATTTAACCCTCACAAAACCCCCATGAGGTAGCTACTATTATTATCTTGATCATCCCTATTTTAGAGATTAGGAAGCTGAGCCATGGAAAGGTGAAATAACTGGCCCAAGTAAAATAATTTGGCCAATTACTTGGTAAACCAAAAAAAAAAAAGAAACCAAACCCGTTGCCATCAATTTGATTCCGACTCATAGCGACCCTATAGGACAGAGCAGAACTGCCCCATAGGGTTTCCAAGGAGCAGCTGGTAGGTAAGAACTGCTGACCTTTCAGCTAGCAGCCAAGCTCTTAACCACTGCGCCACCAGGGCTCCATAATTACTTGGTAAATAATTGCAAAGTTGGGATTTGAATCAAGGCAGCCAGGCTCCAGGCACTTAACCACTGCACTACACTGCCTCAGTAGAGCACAGACATCTGTACTCAGGTCCAGGCTAGAGCTGCAACCTTCCAGAGTTAACAAGTACAGCACCATAGGATTGATGATCACAGGCCATTACTGTCTTCACCAGCAACCACAAAAGCCTGGCTTTTAAAGGTGATGCCTGGAGATTGGACTGGTTCAGGCTGTCAGAAGTACCCTCAGATCTCACTGTCCCCAGGGCTCAAGTGGGCTGTGTGTTGAGAGCCACCATCAAGGGATATACCCACTAACTGCCCCAATTCACCCCTAGACCTCTGCTCATTCCCAGCAAAACTGAGTGCCACTCAGTCCCAGCACAAAGGGGGATTTGCAGGGAGGGGTGGGAGACAGTGTCAGAAAAGAAGGTATCTTCTGAGGGGTGGGTAAATTGCAGCTGAGTTCTCCCTCTAACCCATTTCTCTTTTTTTTCTCCTCCTTTCTCTCCCTCATTGCCCTCCCACTCTGCCTCCATCTTCCCCAGTGGTGCTGACCGTCCTCACCTACACCCCTGCCCCTCGAATTCGACTGGGCCAGGATGCCAAACTGGACTTGAGCTTTGCCTATATGCCCCCCTCCTCTGAGGCTGCTACATCCCTGGCCCTAGGTCCCCCTCCCTTTGGGCTGGAGTGGCGACGCCAGCACCTGGGTAAAGGGCACCTGCTCCTGGCCGCAACCCCTGGGCTGGGTGGGCAAATGCCAGCAGCCCAAGAGGGGGCAGTGACATTTACTGCATGGGATGACAATGAGCCATGGGGCCCATGGACTGGGAATGGGACCCTCCAGCTGCCTGCAGTGCAACCTTTCCAGGAGGGCACCTATCTGGCCACCATCCACCTGCCATACCTGCAAGTACAGGTCACCCTGGAGCTCGCTGTGTACCGTGAGTGCAGGGGTAGGGGTCCCCATGGATAGGGGGTGGGCACTGGGATTAGAGGTTGCCATGAGAAGGGGAGGAATGATGGAGGACAGGGTGCTTGAGTGAGGGGAGATGGATTGGGGTCCTTGGGAGTCAGAGGGGCAATGGGAGGGGTGAGGGATCCCTGGGAATCTGAGGGGCTTTAACATGGTGATTCCTGTGAAGCACCAATGGGGAGACAGTGGGTTTCCCATCCTAGGAGAGGAAACCCAAACCCCCTCAGTTTTGGTAGTCCAGAAGGCAAGCTGAGGGTCTCTGAGGCAGGAGAGTGGGTTGATTCCCCTATGCCCACTTCCTACTCTTTTCTTAGAGCCCCCTAAAGTGTCCCTGATGCCAGCACCTCTGGTATGGGCTGCTCCAGGGAAGGCGCCCCCAGAATTGGTCTGCCTCGCGTCCCACTTCTACCCCTCCGAGGGCCTGGAGGTGGAGTGGGAGCTCCGGGGTGGCCCAAAGGGTGGCTCTCGAAAGACCGAGGGGCAGAAGTGGCTCTCTGCCCTGCGCCACCACTCTGACGGCTCTGTCAGCCTCTCTGGGCACCTACAGCTGCCTCCCGCCACCAGTGAGCAGCATGGGACGCGCTACGCCTGTCGCATCCACCACCCTAGCCTGCCTGCCTCAGGGCGCAGCGCTGAGGTCACCCTGGAGGTGGCAGGTAAGATCCAGGAGCACTGTGGAACCACAAGGGCTGGGGCTGGCTAGGGCCAGGGGCTGGGGCCTGCATGGAGCTCATTCTCTCCCCTTCTGCCTGCCAGGCCTCTCCAGGCCCTCCCTAGAGGATGGCATCGGCCTCTTCCTCTCAGCCTTTCTCCTCCTTGGCCTCATCAAGGCACTGGGCTGGGTCGGTGAGTGTGAGCCCCACCCTACGGTAACCCTCTACTTATGGACATTCCCACCTACTCCCAGCAGCCTGACACCCATCCCTCTGCCCCTCTCCACTTCCCCCATCCCATTCCTTCTCAATCTCTCTCCATAGCTGCCTACCAGTCCACTTCCAAGGATTCAAAGGAAAAGGTAACAACACCTCCACCTCCCCTTATCTTTCCCTTCTCATTTTATTCCCTTCCACCGACTCATCACCCATGGAGGGAAGCTGCTGGTGTGGTGGCAGTACCTGGGCTTAGAATTCACACACACCTGCTGCTTAGATCCTTAAATTGTAGGACCCCTTGAACAAGCTACTTAACCTATACCTCAGTTTCTTTGGAAGTTTGTTAACACCAGGATAACAAAAATTACTTAGGTAGCGCTAATAGAAATACAATGCAAGCCACGTATGTAAATCTAAATAATCTAGTAACCACATTTAAAAAGTTAAAAGAAACAGGTGAAATTAATTTTAATAAAACATTTAACTTAACCTATATATTCCAAAATATTATTTCAACATGTAAATCAATGTAAGAAATGATAGTATTTTTCTGCACTAAGTTTCAAAAACCAGTGTTTATTTTAAACTTTTACCACATCTCAATTCAGACTAGCGACATTTCAAATGCTCAATATCCACATGTGGGTGGTGGCTATGTAGTGGACAGCACAGCCTCAGAGGGCTGTTGAGAGAATTAAAGGAGACAGTGCATGTAAAAGGAGCCCTGGTGGCACAATGGTTAAGTGCTGGGCTGCTAACTGAAAGGTTGGCATTTGGAACCCACCCAGCAACTCTGCCGGAGAAAGACCTGGCCTGGTAAAGATTTCAGCCTAGAAAACCATATGAGGCAGTTCTACTCTGTCACATGGAGTTGCTAAGTGGAAATTGACTAGAAAGCACCTAACAGAATGATAGTGCATGCAAAGCACTCAGCACAGTGCCAGGAAGGCAGAAAACATACAGAAAATGTTAACCTCACCCTTTCCCCACCCTCTGTGCCCATGACGGTTCCTATTTCTCTGGATTGACCCTGAGCACTTCACCCCGCCCTCAAAAATGCCAAATTCCTCACGTCCTTCTTACTTCTCTTTCAGAAAGTACAGTGAGGGCATTATCACCAGCACCCTGCTGAAGCACCATCATCTCTGGCCTGAGCTGCTGCAGTAGCTCCCCCAAATTGTGTCCCCGTCATCTGCTCCTACTCCCTCCAATCCATTCTCCACTGAGCGACTAGAATGCTTTTTCAAGGCACACATCTTAGTACATTCACCTTCTTAGAGCTCTAGGGCAGTGGCTGTCAAACTTTTTGGCCTCAGGACCTCTTAAAAAGTAATCAAGGACCCTAAAGAGTTTTTGCTTATGTGGGTTATAACTATTGATATTTAACCATACTAGAAAAAAAGAAAACACAAGAACACACAAATGCACATATCCCATTAGTTGTGAGAGCAATGATGTCAGTACACATCATGTAGCTTCTGGAAAACTACTGTACACTTTCAGACAATGAGAGTGAAAAAAGCAAATAACAGATTATTATGAAAATAGTCTTGACCTCACATATCCCCTGAAATAGTCTCAGGGACCTCAAGGACAGGGACAACACTTCGAGAACCACTGCTCTAGGGGGCTACCCCAGCCTTCCTGCCCTGGCCCATGTATTGCTGTTGGTTGGGGCCCCTACCTACCTCTCCAACCCCACCTGGTACTCCCCAGCCGTCTTCTTAATGCTCCTCACACCGATGGATGGCCATTTCTTTTCTCCAAAGGGCCAAACGCTCCTGCCGAGTCCCAGCGCACTGTTCCCTCTGCCTGGTCCATCCTCGCCCTCCCTGGGCCTCAGACTAGGTCAGCCCCGTTCTTTCTCCTCAAACCGCCTTAGTGTCCCTCTTGTACGGTTGACCACGGTTTCTATTTAAGTGTGCGAATCGTTGTTCAATGCCTGTCTTCCCTCCGGGACTGTCGGTTCCTCGAGGGCTGTAAGGAGCCTGTCTACTACTGTATTCCCCGCGCGGGCACGGGACCTGGTGCCCTCTGGAGGGCACTCCTCAAATGGCTGCTGGATGTTGGATGAGGGAAGTGGCGGCCCGGCTTAGTGACCTCTTAGGGACAAGACGTTCGGGCGGACTGACTGGGGGAGCGGTTCTAATCGGTGTGGGTGTGGGAATAAAGTTGTGTACCAGTGCTTCCAACCGGGCCTCTTATTCTTCCGCAAGCTCCCCCTTTCCAAGCATAATACATCTTCTAATCACTTCTGGTTTCTCCCAATGACCCTGAACCCTCAACGCCTCAGCGACACCCAATCCCCATTCCCTTCAAAACAATTAAGAGCTGGAGGCCACAAATGGCGTCCGGGGCACCCTCAAGCCGCGGGCCCTCCGAAGGCGACCACAGGAAGTGGAGATCCCGTCCTCGAGTGCCGGAAACCCCGGAACACCGAATCTGGAACCGGATGCGGGGGCTTCCTGCCCCGCCCCCTGTGAGGGGGCGGGAACTGATGGCTACTCGGAAAAGCCGGAGTGGATTTAGGCCCGCTGCTCGCGTGGGTGGGGGTGGGGAGTGTAACACCGCAGGGGTGGAGTTACGGGGTCCCTCCCCGCCTAAAACGTTTCTCGCGGGAATTTTAGCTTCGTTGTTGGAGGTGGGGTGGGGGAATGTCAAATTCTGCCCCCGCCCTACCCCGGGGGCTGGAGCCTGGAATCTTTATCGTAACTCGGAGCCGGGCGACGTGGGCTCCAGGATCCCGGAGTAGGGGGCCTGAGAACAGCGGAGCTGGGGACCTGCGCCCCTGGCGTCCGGCGCTTCCCTAGTCCTCGGCCCTGGCTCCTGTCCTCACTTCCTTCCCCTTTTGGCTCCTGCTCTCGGAGCTGGCGGACGCGGGGGGGAGCGGAAAGGGCGGGAGGGCCGGAGAGCCCGGCGAGGGGGGGCTCAAGGGGGTGCGGAAAAGCCGGGGAGGGGATTCGGTCTGGGGCCGGAGACCGACGGGAACAGCTGCCCGGGACCCGCGCTGCCCCCGCCCCTCCCGAGCAGGTTAGAGCCAGAGCACCCTATGACCCTGCCCGACCCCGGACTCGTGACCCACTCATCCCCAAAACGCACCAGGGGCCCCTATATTCCACCCCTGTGTTGTCTTCCCCCCTCCCTTCAGGACTCCCGTCGGGTTACTTAGACGCTCACGCGCGTCCTTCCCTGCCCGGCTCCCCTACACCCCTTGTCTCTTCACTGTTCCCTTCCCCGTCTCTCCCCAGATGCCCCATGGCCCGACCCCGCTGATTCTTTCAATCGGCCATGCTCCCGCGGCCCCTGCGGCTGCTCTTGGACGCGAGCCCCCCCGGGGGAGTAGTGCTGAGCAGCTTCCGGAGCCGAGACCCAGAAGAGGATGGGGGTCTGGGAGCCCAGGGAGTGGGCGGGGGGCAGGAGGAAGAGGAGGAGGAGGAAGAAGAAGAGGTGAGACGCGGTTGATGGGAGGTAGGGGGCATATACATTTCGGAGACCCTCTCCACCTTTCTTTGTGTCCCTGTGTCTCTTCCTCTCTTAGTTTACTTCTGCGCCTCTTAATGGGTGTCTGCCAGCCTCCCTGCTCCAGGGAGCTCCAGCGTCTCTGAGGTTTTCTGTGTCAGTGTGACTCAGGACCTGCCCGCAGGAACTTGCCCTGTTCCTGCCTGGAGTGTCAGTCTGCCTGTGTCCCTGCCGGTCTCTGGCCCTCGAGGCCGAGGTCTGAGTGTGCCTGCCTTTCTGGGCAATTGTGTCTTGGTCCCTGTCTCCCTCCTTGTTTTTGTTTGGAAGGGAGGGGTTTGTTTCCACAGTAACGAGCTCCTCTGACTCCGGGATTGGGGAGGGAACCCTCAGATTTCACGACCCCTCCCTCTGCCCCCCTCTGCTGAGTCGGGTCTTGGGTGGAGGCCCGGAAGCCAAGGTTCTGGGACCTGGAGGGACGCATCCCAGACTGAGTAAGGGTTGGTCACCTACTTTCCTCGGGGACTAATAGTGATGGCCAGGAGTAGGGTTTGGGGCCTCAGGAGGAGCCAGGTGTTGGATTTTAGGGCCCAAGGTCTTGGACTCCTGGGTCCAGAGGCTGGGTGAGGTCAGGGTGACTGGCTGGACTGGTTTTTCGGGATCAGGCGGAGGAGGTGCTGGGGCCACGTGATTCTGTGAGTCTACACCCCCCCACACACACACATCATCCCCACTTCCCCTTCTCCTTCCTGTATTGGGATCGGAGCCGCCGCCTTGAGAGGGGTGGTCCCCAGGGCTGAGAAAGAGAGTAGAGTCCCTACCTGAGGGACCAGGGGGCAAGGGAGCCTAAGGGAAGGGCTAATTCTTCGGGTTGGGGCCCTTCTGTGACAGGCGGGAGGGCGGGGCCTGTGGCTGTGCCTGTGATGAGGTTTCAGCTCCTCTAGGTTTTTGCCTCTGGCTCTCTACCTCTTTCACTTTCCTCTTCTGGCCTTTGCACCCTACTTCTCCACTGTGTTGGGGTTCAGCTCTGGGGGGGAGTGGATCTGGGGGTCTCCAAGATCAGGGTTCTTGCACCTTGTGCGCCCCCCCACTGTACCCCCCTCGACTCCACCGGGCCCTTAGGTGGCTAGGGGGGGGCTGTCTGGGCCCCAGTGGGGGAGACCTGGGGTCACCAGCCCCCCCCATCCCTCGCACACGCTGGTACTATCCCCTGCCATCACAGGTGAGGGTACAAGGAGGGGATAGGGCTTAGGGGTGAGCGAGGACAGGGAGCTGTGGGGAATGGTGTGGGCTGTATGACTTCTTCCTTGCTCCTCCAGGTCCCTGTGTCTGTCTGGGATGAGGAGGAGGATGGCGCCACCTTTACTGTCACAAGCTACCAATACCAGCCTCTTGATCCCTTGGTGAGAGCATGACTTTGACTTCTCACCTCTGACCCATCACCTCCCAGTTTCCCTTCCTCTGGCCAGAGTGCTAGGCTGGGCATCTGGAGACCTGGCCTCTGCTGTGTGACTTAGGCTGTCTTTTGCCCTCTCTGAATTTCAGCAAAGTGGACCTGGATCATCTCCTAGGTCTGGGATTGTCCCCAGGAGTCTAGGGTTTGGGTTGAGGAAAGGCTCAATGACTGGCCCTCTGTCTCCCCCAGGCCCCCACACCTCCCCAACGCTCCTCCAGACGACTTCGAGCTGGCACTCTGGAGGCCCTGGTGAAACACTTACTGGATGCCCGGACATCAGGGGCTGACGTGACCTTCACCTCAACTTTTCTGGCCACCCACCAGGCCTTCACCTCTACGTCTGCTCTTCTGGGGCTTATAGCTGACAGGTCAGGGATCAAAAGGGACCAGAGGTCATGGATGAGTCTGGACTTCCTAAAGCCAGACTATTTGGCTCTTCCAAAATAGTCAAAGCCACAGGGAGTTTGGAAATATGGACAGAGGGATTTTTTTCCTTTCCCCAGGCTGGAAGCCCTTGAATCTCATCCTACTGATGAACTAGAGAGGACAACAGGGTGAGTGACCCTTGATTCTTAACTTGTCAATCCCCTCTATCCAAGCTGCAGCTTGACCTCTGACCCCTGGCTGATTCCCCTCCTCCCAGGGTAGCCATCTCTGTACTGTCAACCTGGCTGGCCTCTCACCCTGAGGATTTTGGCTCTGAGGTCAAGGGTCAGCTTGACCGGCTTGAGAGCTTCTTGCTTCGGACAGGGTATGCAGCAGGGGAGGGTGTTGGGGGGTGCAGCGCTGAACTCATCCGCAACCTCCGGTCCCGGGTGGACCCCCAGGCCCCCGACCTTCCTAAGCCCCTGGCCCCCCCTGGCGACCCCCCTGCTGACCCCACGGATGTCCTGGTGTTCCTCGCTGACCACTTGGCCGAACAGCTGACCCTGCTAGATGCGGTGAGACCCTGATCTCTGACCCCCACGCCTTCTGACCCCTTACTAACCTCTCCTTGAGTCCAGATCCTTTCCTTGCTTCCAACCCTTCCTGATCCAGCTCCTAGTCTTCTCTGTCTGCCCAGTTCTGACCTTTTCCCTTCTCCCCTTGGTTGTTGCCCTTCAAACCTTATGCCCTCTGGTTCCTTGGCCACCTGAGATCCTCAGACCCCTGCTATTAGAAGGCTGACCTCGCTTGACTCTGAACTTTAACCTCTAACCTCTGCCCTGTAGGAGCTGTTTCTCAAATTGGTCCCCTCTCAGTGCCTGGGGGGCCTGTGGGGTCACAGAGACCGACCAGGACATTCCCACCTCTGCCCATCTGTCCGAGCCACTGTCACACAGTTCAACAAGGTGGCAGGGGCAGTGGTCAGCTCTGTCCTGGGAGCTACCTCAGCTGGAGAGGGGCTTGAGGAGGTGACCATACGGCCACTTCGCCCACCACAGAGGGCCCGGCTCCTGGAGAAGTGGATCCGTGTGGCAGAGGTCAGAGAGAGAACTGGTCCTGTTGGGGACCATGGTTTGGAGAGGGGTCCCACAGCTAATGCCTCTCTGTGTGACCTGTGAACAACTTCCCTGCAGGAGTGCCGTCTGCTTCGAAACTTCTCTTCAGTTTATGCTGTTGTGTCTGCCCTGCAGTCCAGCCCCATCCACAGGCTTCGGGCAGCCTGGGGGGAAACAGCCAGGTGGGTGGGGTGAGGCCCTAGACTGGGGATGGGGGTCTTTCAGAGGGCTGGGAAGAGGGGGTGGCTGAGCCAGGCCTGTCCTCAGGGTCACTGCCCTTCATCACCCAGGGACAGCCTCAGAGTCTTCTCCAGCCTCTGCCAGATTTTCTCTGAAGAGGATAATTACTCCCAGAGCAGGGAGCTACTCCTGCAGGTAAGACCCTGGCCCTGGTGTTCCTAGCCATCCCTGCTCCCCACTCCTCCCCCACACCCCTACCACCCCTTCATATTTTCTGTTCTGTCACTACCAGGAGGTGAAGCTACAGCCCCCTCTAGAGCCAAACTCCAAGAAATCCCCGAGGTCTGGCTCCCGAGGTGGGGTGAGTGATTAGTGGTGGGTGGTTGTGAAGGAGAAGCCTCGGGTGGGGAGCAGCTTGAGGGATGGGAGGGGGAGGCACAGCAAGAATTCAGTTTGTTCTCTCAGGCAATGGGGTAGGGAGGTGGGGGGAGTGGAGAATCCTCAGATCATGGCAAGGGTGTCTGACCCTGACTCCTGACCTCAGGGTGTGGTCCCATACCTTGGCACCTTCCTGAAGGATCTCGTGATGCTGGATGCAGCCTCCAAGGATGAGCTGGAGGTTAGTGTGTGTGTTTTGCTGATGTAACAAGTGGGCCTCAGGGTCAGACAGCAGTACCCCACAGAAAGGGGCTGTAAGGCATAACAGCTGAGAACTCTGGAGCTAGATTGCAGGGGTTCTGTCTTTGTTAACTTTGGCAAGTTGCTTAACCCCTTTGTGCCTCAGTGCTTTACAAAAAACCAAACCAAACCAGTTGTTGTTGAGTCACTTCCAAATCATGGTGACCCCATATGTGCAGAATAGAACTGCACTCCATGGAATTTTCAATGCTGTGATCTTTTGGAAGCAGATTGCCAGGCCTTTCTTCCAAGGCACCTCTAGGTGGGTTTGAACTGCCAGCCTTCTGGTTATAGTTGAGTGCATAACTGTTTGTGCTAGAGACTCCCTTTGTGCCTTGTTTTCCTGTGCTGTTGAGTTGATTCCAATTCATAGCAACCCTATAGGACAGAGTAGAACTGCCCCACAGGGTTTCCTAGGCTGTAATCTTTACGAAGCCGACTGCCACATCTTTCTCCCATGGAGTGGCTGGTGGGTTAGCAGCTGAGTGCTTAACTATTACAGCACCAAGCATTATATAGAGTTTGTTAAATAAACAAATACTGGGACCTTGGGCAAGTTTCTATACTCTTGGAGCCCCAGTTTTCTCATTTGTAAAGTGGACACAATTTCTATGTCGAATGCTTATGGCTTGATAGATGTGAAGGGGAGGAGGAGTGAGATGAGGGAGTCAGGCCAAGGTGAGGGTTTTGAGTTTAGGTGTGTATGTATGTGTGTGGTGTGTTTGGGAGGGGGTATTATCTCTCTGTGGCCTGGAAGGCAGGGTTAGGACTCTCACCCCATCCCCATGTCTTTCCAGAATGGCTACATCAATTTTGACAAGCGGAGGAAGGTGAGAGCAGTGCATGGCTGGATGCTTGTCACCCCGTCTTAGTTATCTAGTGCTGCTATAACAGAAATACCACAAGTGGGTGGCTTTAACAAACAGAAATTTATTTTCTCACAGTTTAGGAGGCTAGAAGTCCGAGTTCAGGGTGCTGGCTCTGGGGGAAGGTCCTTGTTACTTCCGAGCTTCTGCTCCTGGGCGATCTTCATGTGGCTTGGCATCCCTCTTCCCCCATCTCTACTGTGCTTCCTTGTTTAATCTCTTTTATATCTCAAAAGAGATTGACTCAAGATACACCCTACACTAATCCTGCCTCATTAACATAACAAGACAACCCATTCCCAAATGGGATTATAACCACAGGCATAGAGATTAAGATTTACAACACATATTTTTGGAGGACATAATTCAACCCATAATAAACCCCTTCCATGTCCCAGGAAAGGGAGAGAGGGGAAAGTCGGGGGTCCATGTTTTGGCTCCTGCAGTCTGAAGGCTCCTTCCTAGGAATTTGCTGTCCTTTCTGAGCTGCGGCAGCTCCAGAACAAATGTCGTGGCTATGATCTTCGACCTGACCCTGATATCCAGCAGTGGCTGCAGGGGCTCCGGCCACTGACAGAAGCCCAGAGGTGACTGGCTGGGGGAGATTGGGACCCCAGGGCTCATGCTAGGTATGGGGGGATTGGTGTGCCATGTCCTGATCTCTGCCCATTGTCCCCCTCCCCAGCCACCGTGTGTCCTGTGAGGTAGAGCCACCTGGTATCAGTGACCCTCCTGCCCCACGGGTGCTTCGGCCGACGCTGGTCATCTCACAGTGGACAGAGTGAGGGAGTCAGCAGTTGGGGGTGGTCTCTTAGGGTCTTGCTATTCTTCCTCTGACCCTACCAATCTTCTGCCACTCCAGGGTCCTAGGCTCTGTTGGGGGCCCCACCCCCTTTGTGTCCTGGGACCGGCCCAGTATGGGAGGAGATGAGGTGCCTGGAACCCCTGCTCCTCTGCTGGCCCGGCTGGCCCAGGTGAGCTCTGCTCCTGATCTCTGACCTTGACACTGACCCTGATTCTGAGTGTGTCTTCCTTACCCTCCTTGCCGTCATGCCAGTCCCCCGTGTTGTTTGTCCCTCCAGCACATGAAGTGGCCATCTGTCTCATCTCTGGATTCCGTCCTGGAAAATACTCCCTCCCTGCACAGTCCAGCTGACCCCAGCCACCTCTCTCCCCCATCCTCCTCCCCTCGGCCTTCTCGAGGTCACCGACGCTCCGCCTCCTGTGGCACCCCCCTCAGTGGGGGAGCAGAAGGGACCTCCAGGGGGACTGGATATGGGGGAGGGGGGCCTGGGCCAGGGGCCTCTGATTGCCAGATCATCCGTGTCCAGATGGAACTGGGGGAAGATGGCAGTGTCTACAAGAGCATCTTGGTGAGGGAGCTCTGGCCCGAGTAGGGTGAAGGATGGTGCTTTGTTGGACTCTACGTGTTATCCTAGGTTTGGGTAGCCAAATGGGAGGATGATTCTAGTTTTAATTCTGACCTCTGATTTTGGCAGCCATGTTTTATTTTGACACCTACTTTGCATTAGCTGCTGCACCTTGAACTTTTGGTGGCCATATTAGATTTTGAGAACTCACAGCTATTTCCCCCCAGGGAAGCAGCCCTATTCCACTGGGTGCTGTGTGGGCTGGCTAATGGGGTACAGGAGCCACTACACTGGGTTTCCCTTTCCACTTTAGAAGGTTGGACGTAGGTAGCCTTTTTCAGTTGGGGGTCAGTGGCTAGGGTTAGAAGGATGGGAAGCACAGGTCATCATGGAGAGATTTATTGCTCTTTTGGTCTTTGTTGCTGCCAGGTGACCAGCCAGGACAAGGCTCCAAGTGTCATCAGTCGTGTCCTTGAGAAAAACAATCGTGATTCTGCAGTGGCTTCAGAGTATGAGCTAGTGCAACTGCTACCAGGGGAGCGAGGTCAGAGGCCACAGGGAAAGGCAGGCTTGGGAGGAGAGTGGTGCCCATCAATGGGATGCTTCCACATCTGGGCACCTGCAGGGGAACAACTGTGTTTGTGCCTGACATCCACCCTGTGAACCTACAGAGCTGACCATCCCACCCTCCGCTAACGTCTTCTACGCTATGGATGGAGCATCCCACGATTTCCTCCTGCGGCAGCGGCGAAGGCCCTCTGCTGCCACAGTGGTCCTCACCAGCGGCCCCTCTGCCTCAGGAACTCCCCCGAGTGAGGGGGGAGGGGGGTCCTTTCCCAGGATCAAGGCCACAGGGAGGAAGATTGCACGGGCACTATTCTGAAGAGGAAGCCCTGTTGGTTCACAGAAGTCATGGTGGCCATACCAGATGTGGGTAGCATCCCGAAAGGTGGCAGTCACGCTGCATTGGGACAGAAATTCTGAAAGGTAGCCGGCCACCCTGGAGCAGTGAAGTGCCACTGGTTTATCAAATGGCCATGAGATACAGCCCGGTGGAAACTGGTAGTCTTCGTAACCAAGTTGGATACCTGTATACAGCCTCCCCCCGCCCCTTTCCATGAATGCAGCACACAGCCAGTGCTGGAAAAAAGGGTCAGTCCTGATTCCTGACCACATCCTAGCATGCGAAGGGCCAAGGAAAGGCCTAGAAGTAGTGGGAGAGGAAAGGCCCAGAGGCTCTGAACCCCGGGGGGGGGGGGGGGGGTGGCAAGAAGGTGGTTCTAGCAGTTTTTTTTCCCCACTGTGAGGGTTCTTGTCACTGTGACAACACTAAAATAATAAACCAAAACACTACCTGAATTCATCCCCCCCGTCCGTGTGGTGTCTATGAACTGGCTGCTGGGACTGGGGATGGGGAGTTGGCTGAAGGTAGGAACAATGGACCAGAAAGGAGTATGATGTTCTCTATCCCTGTGAAGAGGTGCTAGTGAAAATGGTTCCCTCAGAGCAGTTCATTTCTCCTCAGCAACCTCTGTGTCCTGGTCCTTTTATTACTGCTATTAAATTTTTCTGTTTTCGCAGAGAAGATCGGTATGAAGAAATCCTCTGGCTGAAATTTCTAGGAAACAATTTTAGGACAGAGATGGAAGAACAATTTTGTGGGCAACACACGGACTTAGAGAACTTATGACACCATAAAGCATTATGTTGGGATTTTAAATCAGTTTAAGCTACACACAAATTTTAAAAAGACAGACTAAAAATAACAGAGAGAGACCACACCTATTGGAAGGATGACAAGTATTCATAATAAGAATGGTAACCACATTTCATTCTGGGGTCTCAAGTTAGAGAATTATGATTCTTCAACTAAACTGATATTTCTAATGATATACTGCATTGTAAATGCCCTGCCCATATTTCCTTGGTTGGTCACGCCAACCAAGGTAAGGTAATGTTAAGGGCTGTAAATGCAAGTAAGAAACAAGTTTGAAACCTTTTATATTTCGGTTTCAAGAAACAAGGAAAGATTTCCCTGCCAAGAGAGACTCCACTTGTAAGAATATGGGCCTCAAGGATTAATATAAGTGGCATGTAAGGTGGAAGGGGCCGGGGGAATAGGTGGAGAGAAACATGACAGAGTGGCTGGTCAGAAAACCGAGCCAGGTGTTTTCACATTTTATTAGCTACAGTATAGACCCTAGAGCTGCCTCATTCCCTCCCCTCCCCTTCCCCCCACCACAGGGTCAGGCCTTGCCAGGAGCCCCTGCCTTTGCTGCTTGGGCCCGCTGGAACTCCTGCTGCAGCTGAGCAAGGGTCTCCCTCTGTCGCTCTGACTGCCTCTCCAGGTCCCGGAGCTGGGATTCGTATCGCTTACTGAGGAGACACACGAAGACAAAGCAGCAGAAAAGGAGAAATTAGTGAGGCTTACTATTGAAAAGACTGAAAACAAGAAAGATAGGTGGCAAAGTTGAGATCTGGGGCAGGGAGGGGACGGGGTTAAAAGGGAAGGAAGGAGTGGAGGACTGGACAATTGGGAGCCACTATGCAGAGCTGCTCTACAGTGGTTCCTCCACAACTCTACTCCAACAGCATCAGCTGCATCACAGGGTGGTGGTACAGACTCACATTTCAGCTGTTATATAGTCCAGCCTCTTCCCCACTGTGGCCCGAGCCTCCCCCAGCTCCTGTTTGACCAGCACAGGACCCAGAAGTTTGAAGACCACGTTGGACCCATCCAGTAGGGCCAGTTCCTGAGAAAGGGGAGGGACATACACGATCAGAATCATCGTCACACAAATCCCAGTCACTCCTTGCCCCACAAATCCCAGTCCCTCACCTCCTTCACGATATTATTTTCTGTTAGTTGTGCCTCGAGCTTCTGCCGCCCTGACATGGACTTACTCAAGTCTGAGAAGCGGGAGGAAAGGCGTCATTAGAGACATCAAATGTGCCACCCGACCCCCACAATCCTAGTCAGGAGAATGGAACTGAAGAAGTAGACAAGGACAGGTCGATGGGTGGGGGGAAGTATTGAGGTTGGGATGGGGCTGCACACAGGCGCGCGGGGTGGGGCAGAAAATCTTTCTTGATCATTGCTTTAGATTGTGGGTGAGTGTGGCGATTGGGATGAGGCCACATCGATCCTGCTCCCTTACCCTTCTGTAGCTGTTGATATTTCTCCACTTCTCCCTGTAGCTTTTTCTGGATCAGCTCAGCCATGGCGGGGGCGAAAACCTGCGAGGAGCGGGAGAGGGGCGTTGGGTCTGACACTCCAGAAGATACCCGAGCTTCCCTTCCTGGCTTGGCCGGTGGAACAGACAGTACTCTTTAGAAGCCGCCCTTCAGGACACCGCAGCCTCTCGCCGTTGCGGATATGAACTCTAACCCGGCCCCACAGGGGACAGCGAAACGAGACCCCTACCTCCTCAACAGAAACCCTGCTCTACTCACGGCCTCCCTTCAGAATTACTAACCCCGGAAGCAAACAAGGAATGCTGGGAAAAGACGGCGCCGGACGCTGCCGAGACATGCCGGGAAATGTGGTTCTGACATATTTAATGAGTGGCGTTCTGCTGAAAAGACTGGACTGAGAAGGTTTTAAGCAAAATCGGAAAACTAAGAAAAAGAAACTTCACCGTTATTCAGTCCCAGGATTTGCCTTTTTTTCATCCACGATGACATTATTACTAGAGCAAGAGCCGCCGTTCGGGATGGCAGTGCCAAGGACCACCTATACCATTGCGGTCCAGTTGCTTCCACTTCATAGCCAAGGAGTACCCCGCCCATCAAAGGAGAGCTTACCCTCACTCAAGATGGTGCCTGGAAGACTTCAGACCTGGAACGGCGCTGATTGGGTGAGGATAAGAGGACTTCCGGGTGTTCCTAAGCTGACTGTGGGACCGCTGAGAGGAGTTGGCACATGGATCATCAACTGGTGGGCTTGATGGAGACTGCCCCCAAGCCGGGTGGGGATGTCCCGCATAAGAAGAACAAACTTCAGTCCAAGAGGAAGGTAGAGGCCTCTCTGGGGAGGAAAGGGAAGTTTTTAGCTGCGGAGTCCTGGGGGTGGGGGTCATGGGTAGCGGAGTATCAAAGTCACTGATCTGCCGCTAGAAACCTCGGCGATACTGGGAGGAAGAAGAGACCTCTCCGACCGCTGCCGGAGCCTCCCCAGGACCCTCTCGTAGCAAGAAGAGGAAGCAGGAGCTCCGTCCCCGAAGACCAAAGAACACTCATATCCAAAAGAAGTCTAGAATCTCCAAGAAGCCCCAGGTTCCGAGAAAGTCCGGAGAACGGAGAAATTTGGTGCCCCAGCGGACCTTGTCTGGAGTAAGACTGGGTCGTGATGGGGTGGTGGGGCAGGGTGCCTTTTGCTTTGAGGGTGAGAGAGTTTGGGTCAGCCCGAGCTTGTCTGCTAATCGCGTTCTCCCTGCCCCAGGCCCAGGACCCATTCCCAGGCCCCGCCCCAGTCCCTGTGGAGGCGGCCCTGAAGTTCCGTCGCATTGACAAATCCAAAAAGGTGAGGGCAAGTCGACAAGTGGGGAGGGATTGGAGGCAGAGGGTGTGTGGGTGAGTTGGATAGAGGCTGGGCCAGGTTGCTTTCCTGTCACTCTATATATTCTCTGGTTCTTTCCATGTCCTCTTCCCGCCAATACTGTTATAGCTGTTACATTCTAAGTCCAAAACCCGAAGCAGACTTGAAGTGGCTGATGCTGAGGAAGAAGAAACCAGTGTCAGAGCTGCTCGTTCTGAGCTGCTGCTTGCTGAAGAACCTGGGTGAGTGGACCCTAATCTGGGCTTCTCTGGCCCCTTCTTTGTGGGGCTCCCCTTTCTCATTTTTGTGTTGCTATATTAGGAAGCTTTACTGCAGTCCTAACTCTCTCTTGCAGGTTTTTGGAAGGGGACGATGGGGAGGACACAGCAAAGATACGTCAGGCTGACATCGTGGAGGCTGTGGACATTGCCAGTGCAGCCAAGGTGAGCCTGAGAGTGGGGCATGGGCCAGCGGATCTATTGGTAGTGCAGGATAGAGGGAAGTGGGGACTAGAAGAGGGAGTTGCTGAAGGGAGCCTATTCTTTCTTGATTGTTTTTACTCTTCCTCTTCTCAGCACTTTGACTTGAATCTACGGCAGTTTGGGCCCTACAGGCTGAATTACTCTCGAACTGGGAGGTAAAGTTGAATTCCAGTAATATGTTTGGGCTGTTGATGAGGGAAGGGGACTGTGATTTGACTGGATGTAGGAGTGAGCATCTCCAGTAACATCTCTCCACTCACGTGGAGAAGAGGGGCTGGCATGGGGCAGACCTCGAACTGGCTGAGTCAGCGTGTTCTCTTGCATTGACACTCTGTCTGTCCCTAATTTCCAATAGACACTTGGCTTTTGGAGGGCGTCGGGGTCATGTTGCTGCCCTTGACTGGGTGACAAAAAAGCTGATGTGCGAGATCAACGTCATAGAAGCTGTGCGGGACATCCGGTCAGTGGCTTTCTAGTCAGCAGTCATTGGGGCCAAGACAGCCCATCCTTGATTGAATGACAGCCTGTGATCCCTTTCCCATTGAATATCCAGGTTTCTGCACTCAGAGGCATTGCTTTCTGTCGCTCAGAACCGATGGCTTCACATCTATGACAACCAAGGCATCGAACTCCACTGCATCCGCCGCTGTGATCGCATCACGCGGCTTGAGTTCCTGCCCTTCCACTTCCTCCTGGCCACAGCTGTGAGTGGCTATGGAGCACAGGGACTGGGTGGCTGCCCTTGGGAAGGCTGCTTTTCCTCTGGGACCCCAGTGTAGGGAGGATGGAGGACAATCAGGAGTCAGTCATTTTCATTCTCTCAGTCAGAGACTGGGTTCCTGACCTACCTGGATGTGTCAGTGGGGAAGATTGTGACAGCTCTAAATGCTCGGGCTGGACGCCTTGATGTCATGACTCAAAACCCTTACAATGCCGTCATCCATCTCGGACACAGCAATGGTCAGTCTCTGCATTAGTTGTGACTCTTTGACAATCCTGACCTGCTTTTCTTTTATATTTGTACTTCACGTGGCCCTAAAAATTGCCCTTTACCCCCCTCTTTTGTTACGTTTTGGTCTTGGGTTTCCATCTTTCCCAGGTTTAGTTATCTCAGCATCCCATCTGTAACTTTAGCTCTTCTCCTGTGACTTTCAGGTACTGTGTCTTTATGGAGTCCAGCTGTGAAAGAGCCTCTGGCTAAGATTCTCTGTCACCGTGGTGGGGTCCGGGCTGTGGCAGTAGATTCTACAGGCACGTAAGTCACTTGTTTGGGGATGAGGTATTGGGGGTAACAGCTGGGCAGAAAAGTATGAAGTTAATGTACCTTTAGGAGCACATGCAGCCTGCCTGCCTGGGTTTAAATCCTTTTGTTGCCACTTATCAGCTATGTTACTGTGGGCATATTATTTAGCCCCTGTCTGTTGTAATCTGCTTACCCCCAGAATGGGGATCTGAGTGTCTAGCTCAAGGGTCAGCAAACTTTTTCTATAAAGGACCAGATAGTAAATATTTTGGGTTTTGAAGGCCATGAGGCGAAACCAAGAACCTTATTGTAGCTACTTAATTAGCAAGAGAGAAAACAAATTATCACTATTTTTTTTTTAGTGATTAAACTCAGAACACAGTGATAATTGAGTACACTGTTGCATAATACAGGTTTACTAATGAGAAAAATTGGATTCTCTATTTGAGGATAACATTTTGCTTAATTAAGGTTCAAAGTTAGTATTCCAGATCATCAAACTCGCTTGTAGATGTTCATCTGATAATGCTGATCTGCAGAGATTTTACGTATTTCATCTTCGGAAACATCTTTTTACACAGATAGGTGATAAGATGGGTGGTATGTGAGGCATTACAATTGCTGTCAGGTTATAACTGTGTCACTGCGACTTGTAGGTGCCCCGAGCAGCAGTGGAAAGCAGTGAGAGACCATATATGGTCTCTGTTACAAACACTGAACCATGCCACAGACTAAACAAATGAGCCTCGCTGTGTGTCAATAAAACTTATTTGTGACCGTCGGAATTTGAACTTCATGTAATTTTCACAGCTTGAAATACTATTCTTTTGATTTCTTTTAACCATTTAAAAACGTAAAAACTATTTTGCATGTGGGCTGTGCAAAATTAGACAGATTTGGCCCATGGGCCTTAGTTTCCAAACCCCTGGTCTAGCTCATAAAGCTGTTGTAGACATTAAGTGAGCTAAGGCATATAGAGAGTTTAGCATGGTGTCTAGCAAGTAGGAAGCCCTGCTTTCATCGTCATCATCGTTAAAGACGATTGCACTTTTTAAGTCCTGGCTGTGATGTGAGGGGTGGGGGTGGGGGGAGTGTCTGCTTTGGATTTCTCCTTTTGGTTAGAGAGTATTTACATTTTTTCTAGCTTTTTTAGTGTTTTTTTTTTTTTTTTTTCCTCATTCAAGTTTCAGTGTGTTTTCCTCTAATTGAGTTAATTTCATTAGGCACCTTCTGGGCACCTGCTGTGTGCTGGGTCTGTGCTGAGGTTTCAGGGATAATAAGGATTAATCAGCTCTGGTGTGCTGTTCCTGTTAAACTTTATTTGTAAAAATTAGTGGCAGGCTGTAGTTTACGGACTCCTGGGCGAAAGGAGCCCTGGTGGCACAGTGGTTAAAGCGACTGACTGCTAACCAAAAACACTGGCAGTTTGAAACCACCAGTGGCTCTGCTGGAGAAAGATGTGACAGTTTGCTTCTGGAGAGATTTACAGCCTTGGAAACCCTATGGGGGCTCTCTGATTCGGAATTGACTCCTTGGCAGTGAGTGGGTGGGGCTAGGGGAATGACTGGCCAGGGGATGCATTTAGTTTCCACTTATTCGTCTTAGATAACCCCAGAGTTAATGTGTCCTTCGCTAGATGGGTTGTTCCACTTGCAAAGTTCCTCCTTGCCTGCTCGCTTTCTCCAGCATTTCCCTGTCATCCAGAATCTGGCTTTTCCTTTGACTCCTTGAGTTAGCTACACAGCCTCCATGTTCTTCAGCCATTAGCAATAGCAGGAATCAAAAGCATCAAGTATTGAGTGTTTGCTGGGTCCCCAGGTGCTTGATACTTGAATTGGCGGGATTGCTTCTTTACTGTTCACAACCACCTTCGAAGTCCTGACTGCTTTTCCTCAGGGCTCTTCCCTAGTCTGTTTCCCTCCATCCTTGCTGTATTGTATGGGCATGAGCGATTTTCACAGTTTCCTATCTCCAGTTCTTCTCCCTCTGGGGCATCCTGAGTGCTGTTGTCAGATTGATCTTCCCTACAGGCTGCTTTCCTCCTTTCACACTTCTGTTCAGGAATCTTCTACATTAAGTGTAAACTATGTAACTCTATTTTAAAACTATTTTAAAGAAAATAAGAAGCAGATGCGTAAGTAAAGCCCTGTGGTCACCAACTTACGAAAGCCTTCTGGATGCTTGGACTCCCTTGGCCTTCCAGACTTGTATCTTTGTGGACCGGTGGTTTGGTTATTGCCATTTCTACTTCATATCTGTGCCAGCCTGGCTCTAGGAGGGTGGGGAGGCCTGCCCTGAGGCTTTCTGCCTTCTGTGGGTCACTGGGCCTAAGCTGTAGCTTGCCCTCCCTGGCCTGTCTGGTTCAGCTGCTCCTGTGATTAGGGCGTAATCAGTTCACTGAGTCCTGGATTGGTCAGCACTTTGATGCTCAAGAGCCCTGGTCCTTGATTTTACAGCCATTCCTGCTGATAATGTCCTCCTCAGGAACTCCTCAGACAAGCCATAAGGGCTCCAGAGATGAGCTTTACCATCTTCCTCAAGTGGCTTTCTGGAGGCTTGCATTAGAATTGGATTGGATTGGATTTTCAAAGCTAAACCACTTCTTGCAAATGTAGCACAGTGGTGTGGCCTACACTCAGCTTTGGCCGCCAGACTGGTATTTTCTGGGGAATCTCGTAGGTGGGCATATGGGGGAGAGCAGCCAGCACATGCTCCTGAGTTGTTGGTTCACCGAAGGGTGTGACTGTATCCCAGGAGCCCTCTGTCACTCCTGGTTTGAACTGGTGGCCTTTCCCTCTGGTGGACTTGGGTCCCTGATTGTCTTGTCAAAAGAAGTATCCATCAGGGCCTGTATCTGGCTCTGTCACAGTGAGAGTGTTTGCTTATAGGATCTCTTAAGTGTTCTCCTACTGCGTTCACAGCCAGGGCAAGAAAGAGAAGTCCTTGGCCCCTCGGTGAACATGCATCCCCTGGCTTGGCTGGTTTCCCCTTTAGCCTCCCTCTTTCAGGAACAACTTGAACACAGACAGAAATTCCAACTTCTGAAAGTAAACAACTTAGGCTGTGCAAGATTTCTCAAGGGGATTTGGTCGCCAACTTTGCCCTCCCCGCTTCCAGGGAAAGGAAAGAGAAAAGGTGGGGCCCTCTGGCACATTACTTCGTTTCTGAGTGAGTTTTCTCAAGTTCATGCAGTCTTTAACCTGTGCTTTGTCATTGCCAGAGGGTAACGTTGGGATAGTGAGCAATGAGTCCTCAGTTGGACTAAAAAGAGTCTCTACAATTCATCTCTTACCAATTTTCCTGACCATATTTCCCACCAATCCTGAAAACAAACCTCTACTTCCATTTTAGTGCCTACACTCTGACGTTAATTCATTTGTACCTGCTCTACCTTTATGTTTTCTTAAGAATTGCTTAGAATGGCTCACATTTCACCTTTCCCATGAAGCCCTCCCTGACTACTTCAGTTGATCTTTCCGTTTGCTGAGCTGCTCTGCTGCCTGGTCTGTGCAGTGAAACACCACATTCAGGCACAGATTGTCATGTGGGTTCTCCACTTGTTTCACTTGTCTCAAGAGGGCAGTGTAGTGTTAGGGAAAGAAGAGAGGAGACACTAAAGAAACAAGTTTGACCAGAATTCCAGCTCTCCTACTCACTAACCCTGACTTCCCTTCTCTGAGCTTCATTTTTCTTTTCTGTGAAAGGGAAATTAAAAAAAGTGCCCAGTTGTGTGAGGCTTAACTGAGAGGATGTCTGTGGAGCGTTTAGCGTGATGGTGGTGGTGGTGATTAGTCTTTCTCCCCAACCAGACTCAATGCCCAGAGGACAGAGGCTGTGTTTTCTGTGAGTTTGGGGTTGGTCACGGGACTGCTCAGTAAACCCGTACTGACAGACTAGTTGATTTCTCTTTTCCCCCTAGGTACATGGCCACTTCTGGCCTGGACCACCAGCTGAAGATCTTTGACCTTCGAGGGATGTTCCAGCCTCTGAGTGCTCGGACCCTGCCCCAGGGAGCGGGGCACCTGGCCTTCTCCCAGCGGGGACTGCTGGCTGCAGGAATGGGCGATGTGGTCAACATATGGGCAGGGCAGGGCAAGGGCAGCCCACCCTCTCTGGAGCAGCCCTACCTCACCCACCGGCTCTCAGGCCACGTGCACGGCCTTCAGTTCTGCCCCTTCGAAGACGTGCTGGGGGTGGGGCACAACGGGGGCATCACCAGCATGCTGGTTCCTGGTGAGTGGGTCAGGGAATGGGGCACGAAGTTAATGAACTGTGGATGAAGTTTGGGTGGACCTGGGATAGCAGAGAGTGAGGGGTTGGTTGGGCTGGAGCTGGCGGACTAGGTTCTTCCTATTGGTTCTGTGCTCCTCCCTCCTTTCAGGGGCTGCTGAGCCCAACTTTGATGGCCTGGAGAATAACCCATACAGGAGCCGGAAGCAGCGCCAGGAGTGGGAGGTGAAGGCCCTGCTGGAGAAGGTGAGGATGTACCTACGTGTTGTTTGGGGCTGGGGCTAGGGTAAGCACCCCATTGCTGTCACGCCAGGGGGTCTTAGGAAGAGTGGGATTCAGCACCCTTCCTGGCTTCTGCTCCTCCTTGGTACCATCTTCCTGTGACTCCATACCCATTTTTTGTCCCCCGTGACATCCCCAGGTACCTGCAGAGCTCATTTGTCTGGACCCACGGGCCCTGGCGGAGGTCGATGTTGTCACTTTGGAACAGGAAAAGAAGGAGCGGATAGAGAGGCTGGTGCGGAGCAAGCCCCTGCATGCCCACCCCCAAACACACCACTCTGAGTGCCCAGCCTTCCTCACCCCCACGTCCTCTGCCTACCATGGGCCTGTCCCCGGAAGTGCAGCACAGCAGGCAAGTGCTGCCACAGTGCCCTGCCCCTGAGGCTATTAGAGATTTCACTCTTGTCCCCTTTCTCAGGGCTACGACCCTGAGGCCAAGGCTCCCTTCCAGCCAAAGCCGAAGCAGAAGGGCCGCAGCTCCACGGCCAGCCTGGTAAAGAGGAAGAGGAAGGTCATGGACAAGGAGCACAGGGTGCGAACATTGGTAGGGTGGGCCAAGCCTGCCCCCAGGCTGCACCCTCCTGCTCCTTGCTTGTGTCTCTGGCCTTGCTACTTTTCACCGTGTCCCTGTGTGCCCTTTCAGGACAAGGTCCGGCAGAGCCTAGAGCAGCAGCAGCATGACCAAGAGAAGAAGACCAAGCCCACAGGGACCCGGCCATCTGCCCTTGACAGATTTGTGCGCTGATCCTGGCACCAGGGTGGCTTGGAACAACAGACTCTTCCCAAGTCGTCTATGGGGAAATGACCTTGTTCCCTGGAATGAAGAGGGGGCAGCAGTGTGCCCCTTTTCCAACTGGGTAGCCAGCTGCCTCCTGGGGTGGGTTGGTATTAAAGAGGAAGGTGATTTTTTGGAATAGTGTGTCTGGATTATCCTGTGCCCTTGTTCTCCTTCCCCTTCCCTGGAGTGGGGCTATCTAGGATCAGAGGGGTCATGGTATACTGGCTCTCCCTGCTGCCCCACACTGTGTGGTTGCTGTGGTCTTAGCCCTGCCTTTTAAGAGCATTCTTAAAGAACCTCAGAAAGGCTCGTCCCCCTCTCCCACATCCCTGGAGGTGTCCTTCCTATCCAGCAGGACCTGGTAGCCTCTGGGACTTCCCAGTGGGTGTTCTGGGAGTTCTGGTGAAGAAAACACTACACTCAAGAGGCAGAGACAAAAGTTTATTGAGCTCGTGCCCCTCGCCTGCCCTGACTAGAGAGAACTGCATTTTTTGCTATTCCTGATGGCCATCTTTGGGGCTAGCAGGCCAGGCCCCTGGGTTTCTCCTATATCTCTTGGTCTGCAGTGTCAGACAGAGGAATTGGCATGAGGAAATGGATCTGCTGCAGCCAGCGAGGGCCCTTGTGTCAGGCCTGGGAGAGAAGGTCCTGGGGGTGCTCTACCCCCTCAGCCCCTCTCCTGTGGCCCCAGACACACTCAGCTGTCAAGCCAGGCTATTATCCGACACCGCAGGATGCCCAGGACTCCTTGGAGCCAGGAGCAGAAGGGTGCAGTCCTTTCTCCATCAGGGCTGTCCACCAGTTTCCAGGCCTGTTGCATCTTCCTGGGGTCCAATCTGTGGGATGTCAGCAGGAATTTTCCATAACAGCACCGGTCCAGGGGGTAGTGGGTGGCACCAGCCAGCTTGACACAGTGGGTCAGGGTGAGGCCTCCTCGGCGGGCACTCACCCCCACAAAGACATCCTCCAGTGGCAGAAGGGGAACCTGACTGGCCACCCTCAGGATGAGCTGCACAGCAGAAGCTGATAGCACATACCCTGTGCCTGAGGCATAGGGTGGAAAGGGGCCCCAGGCCATAGGCCACTGCTGTTCAGACACCTGGTGCCGACCCCCTGGTGTCCTAGATGGGTATACCCGCCAGTGCATGCGGCCTAGGTACAGGAGAGGCACAGGCTCGCTCCCCAAAACCCGGCCCCCTTGTTCCTGCTCCTTATCTCCAACCGCAACTGCGCTCTGTGGCTCCGTGCCCCTTTCCCATTGCTCCGAACGGCCCCCTCGCCGGACCAGCTCTGAGACCAGTTCGGGGACGTTAACATACACATCATCATCCGTCTTGAGGATGTAGCGGGCCATAGGACAGTGCTTGTTGGCCCAGTTCAGCCCGCTGAGGGTTTTGAGGGTGAGGTTGCGGTAAGAATCCTGAAAGGCCGCCTGCAAGATGTCTCCTTGGGCCGCAGCCTCCCACGCCAGGCCGTTCCCTTGTTCGCCCCAGGTAGGCTGTGGCCGGACGGGCTCCCCCAGCAGGAAGAGGGTCTGCACCCTTAGCCCCCTGGCCTCGTGCAGCCCGCCCCACGAGGCCCGGATGGTGTTCCTTTGGTGCAGATTCTCGGGGGCGGTGCACACCAGGATAAGCAGGAAAGGAGGGGCGCCGGGCCCGCGGCACGCTTCCACATTGGGGATCAGGAGGCGGGGCAAGGCCATGGGCGGCCCTGGCGAGGCGGGCGCAGAAAGTAAAGAGGGGAGTGAGAGGCTCAGCAGCTCCTCCCCGAGGCCTGAGGGCCCAAAGAGGATCCAGACAATCACGAGCAGCAGGGCTACGAGGAGGAGGCGGCGGAGGAAGCGGAGGGACATGATGTGGCGATCAGAGGGGATCTAGAGGGAAAACGGAAGGGCAGTTAACGAGCCCAGCTACCCCCGGCCCGGGTCAAGGCCCCGTCCGTACCTGGCTGCGTGCAGGCTGGGATGGGCCGAGTGCGCTGCCGAGTAGAGACGCCGAAGGTGTATGATGCCGAGACGCGGGAGACAGTACAACCAGCAACCACCGGGGGGGCTGCAGATACCTTGTCGCGATTTTGTCGCGGTCCCTCCGCCCCCTAAGCCCTGCTCCATGGCTGGCCGACTGCTGCTGCGCCCGCCGCCCCTCCCCCACCAAGCGTTGTGAGGAGGTCGCGCTGCGCGTTCTCGCAGCCCCTGCCGGAAGCATCTCAAAGCGGAAGCATCTCAAAGCGAGGCGCAATTCGCCTCCGCAGGATTGGGCGGTGGGGCTGGTGCGGACATGCAGAGACCGGTCCAGGGCATCCTGGCCGCGGAGGGCTGAAGCCGCGCTGACGGATTGGCAGCGCACCCCTCCCCCAGAGCACGCACTTGCTTCATCTCCTGGCCCCGAAAATAGCTCTTCTGGGTCGCCGAAATAGGGGCCCTTTCGGCCCTTGTTGCCTAGCAGTAAATTCAGTAAGATTTTACCTGCATTCTCCCCAATTTTGTGACCTCCGGGCTAGATCCAAAACCCCGTATATTTTAGAGACAGAGTAAGGAAGACCTGCAAATACTCGCCCCGGAGCAGCAACTGGCTACGTTCTGCGTTCCGCCGAGGTGGTGCACTCCCCAAACTGCACGCCCACCATACTTGCCCCAAAACTTAATCTGGGACTCCCCCGTAAAGCTGGAAGTGGTTGTTCACTTCCCACAGGAGTCCACACCCTGCAGAACGGGACATCACTTACTAAAAGGTTGCTTCAGATACGAAGGGGGATGGGAGGAGACAAAACCATTGCTTTAACCCATACCAAGGGCATTATTTGGGTGGCTGAGTATGGACAACCTTTCAGTTAAGTGGGTAGAAAGGCAGAAATGACCAAAGGGACCAGACCCAGACCCAAACCCAAGCATTTCCTATCAGTATCACTGGAAGAATGGAGAGAACCACAAAGAAGGAAGATGTATAAACTATTTATTAATAGACAAGGCCTACAGACTTATTTCTTCTTGGACACACCCACAGTACGGCCACGGCGGCCAGTTGTCTTTGTGTGCTGGCCTCGAACACGAAGGCTGCAGACAAGGAAGAGAAAGAAAACAGGTCATACAAAGCACAAAGCAAAGGTCTGGGGAAAAAGACTGAGCACTAGGATTCAGGATGGAAGTTTAGGGGCAAGCAGGGAAATGAGACCCCCCACCCCACTTACCCCCAGAAGTGGCGCAGCCCTCTGTGGGCCCTAATCTTCTTCAGCCGCTCCAGGTCTTCACGGAGCTTGTTGTCCAAACCATTGGCCAGGACCTGGATTTAGAAAAGAGGGACGGGGTGTTTGTATTCCTCCCTTGATAGCCTACATTCTAATGGGGACCCTCCTCCACCACCTCCAACCTTTCCACTAACTTCCTCCACCAATACAAACCTGACTGTATTTTCCATCCTTCACGTCTTTCTGTCTGTTCAAGAACCAGTCTGGAATCTTGTACTGGCGTGGATTCTGCATAATGGTGATCACACGCTCCACCTGGCAGGTGGGACAAGGTTCAGATCAGAGGGGACCCAGATACCCTCCCAAGTAGGCCCAACCCACAGCCCCCTTCCCTTCCTCACCTCATCCTCAGTGAGTTCTCCTGCCCTCTTGGTGAGGTCTATGTCTGCTTTCCTCAACACCACATGAGCGTATCTTCGCCCCACACCCTGAGGTGAAAGGTTTGGGAAAAATTAGATCTGATTGTTTGGTTTGTCTTTTAGCACATAAAGGTAGGGCCTGAAATAATCCACTGCTTTCCATGCTCCCATATCACCCTTCCCAACACAGTAAGACATAAAACCTAACCATTGAATAGGAAGGAAATAATTGTGTTCAGGGCCAAGGCTGGACCATCAACAGAGAACCCAGCAGAGGATAGATAAGCCCTTGAGAACAGATGGTCTCACGCTGCCCACGACATAGTAGCTGTCCACAAATGCTTGCTGACAGACACCACAGGAGCCCCTCGAGTTGTACTGATTCCTGCACTGTGGAGGACAGAGGGCCTGGCTTTCAGCATTGAAACAGCAAGACCAGGGTCTTCTTGTGAGCTGACAGGCTGCTCAAGGTCTCTAAGGGTCACAATTCTTGAGCAGGCCACCCCATCCCCATAATCTTAGTTTTCCCAGATACAAATTAGTCAGTGCCCACAGAAGATCAGGCCCTAGGAGCTAACTCTATCCAAACTGCAACTCAAAAAATACTAATGCTTACACTGGTGGCATGACACCAACACATGCAGCCCTGCTGTCTGAACACACGAACCAAACAGATCTTGGATAGTAAAGGATGACATTTTCTCCCTGTAAGAAAATGACCTAGGAAACCAAATTATCAGTTGTTTCACAAGGGATTAGGGCCTCAAGCATCTCTCAAATTCACTGAAGTATTTACAGATGCAGCCCACTCACTGTTCTCTTCAGGCCTCCTTTATCCACAAGAGTACACTGCAGAGACCATCACTTTGTCCTACGGGCCTGGACTGTATTAATAGGTGGTTTTCCAAGGACTCAGATCTAAAATTATTTGATCAACTAATTTAGTAATCTGTAATCATTTAGAAATCTATTTCTACACTGGGCAGGAAAGTTGTTAATATGCCTGATCCCTGCACTTAAATATTAAAGACTCTGAAAGTGTTACAGGACAACTGGCATTTTGGTGGGACAAGAGGTCCTTGTGAACAAGGCCCATGGGTACCTTCAAGTCAACTCTAATCCCCTCCAAGTTTCCAAATACCCCCTAGGTGGCAGTTATAATCCTGATGTAGAGGATGGGTAGAAGACTAGCCTTAAAGAATACTTACAGCAAAAAACTGAAAGTAGCAAGAAAACAATTAAAAAAAAAAAATCACAGCACAGAACAATCTTGCAGAATGTATATATTTCACCAATTGCCATTGAGTTGGTTCAGACTCATGGCGCCACCCCTTATGTCAAAGTAGAACCATGCTCCATAGGGTTTTCAATGGCCGATTTTTCAGAAGTAGATCGCCAGGCCTTTCTTCTGAGACGATGCTGGGTGAACTTGAACCTCCAATCTTTCAGTAAGCAGCCAAGCCCTTAACCATTTGTACTGCCCACAGACTGCAGGCTCTGTATTATTGTCAGCTGCCATTAGTTGGCCCCCAACTCAGTGACTCCATGCACAAAGGAATGAAACACTGCCCAGTTCTGCGCCATCCCTGTGATTGGTTGTGGATCAGACTGTTGTGATCTACAGGGTACTCACTGGCAGATTACTGGGAAGTAGATCTCCAGGCCTCTCTTCCTAGTCCATCTTAATCTGGAAACTCCGCTGAAACATGTTTAGCATCATAGCAACATGCAAGCCTCCACTGACAGATGAGCGGTGGTAGCTATTCGAGCTGCACTGGCCGGGAATCAAACCCAGGTCTCCCACATGGAAGTTGAAAATTCGACTACTGAACCACCAAATGCCCCACAGTAGGATCTGTTACCTCTCAATATATAGCCTCTTCTTGTGTTAGCTTCCATTTCTTACCATTCTGTGGCTAGCTGTATTTTTGAGGAACCCCTCCCCATACTCAATCTCCCTTTTTCCTGTTTAACCTTCTTCCAATTTCCTTCAATTAGCCCAATCCCTGATCCTTAACAAAGGACCACCTCCAAGCTTTAGTTCTCTCACCAGGGGAAGAGGTAGCAGCCTTTCCTGGCTCTCCACACAATTAACAAAAACTTCAGTACTCAGAGATCTCTAAGAAACAGCCTTTCCCAATGATAGCAGGGCACCAGGATCCCCCTGTGAAACTTCTCTTCACAGGGTATCTGAAAATGCCTGAAAAATCTGAAAAATTTTCCATGAGTTCTAATTTGACTACAAAGGTTACAATACACATTTAACAAATCAACTGCAGAGAAACAGAGAGAATGAGGCTCACAGACACATTCTATTAACTCTGCTCATCCTTTATATGCAAACTCACTTATCGCTCACAGCAACCCTTTACAAGACATATTCAATCTTTACAGTGCCTTACATTTTCAGAGAATGTCAAACAGAAGCTTTCAGCTTCCTTTGTACTCATTGAAGCAGCCTTGGTAACACAGTGGATAAAGTGCTAAGCTGATAAGCAAAAGGTTGGCAGTTTGACCCCACCAGCCTGCTTCCTTAAAAATGTGCAGCCTTGGAAACCCTATGGGTCGCTAAGGAGTCAGAATCGACTCGATGGCGGTGGGTTTGGTACTCAATTAAGAACAAACAAAAGCTGTACTTTCTGTAGTAGAGTGAAAAAAATCAAGGGAATTCGACAAACCCTTTAAACCAGATCTACAACTCACTGCTTTAAATCAACAACTTAAAGATGGTTGTCAGGACCAGTCAAGGCACCCTCTGCCACCAGACGGTGTCTTTGCAGGGGTAAGGTATCCCCAGTACCATCCATTCTCTAACACTAAATGAGCATTAACAATATACCAGAAGTGGTGGATTGTAAGCAAGACTGGCTTGGCCCTGCCCTCATGGAGTTATAAGTACTGGTGGGCAAGGAAGACATTCAGCTATTTCTACAAGTAATTACAAATGATAGAATGTCCCCGTGCAGAAGGTTGGGTGAAGGCAGATAGCCAAACTTGCATTTGTTGATTTAATTCTTGTAACAAGCCAAGGACAAAATATACTGGGGTTCCCACTTCAGCTGTAAAGAACACTGACTTTCACCTTTGGCAACTTAGTAAATATCCTGCTCAGGATCTAGTAACGACCCACCCCACAGGAGTATTTCTTCAAACTTAGAATCCATTGGCACAGCTACTCATCCAAGATGTACCAAGAATTATACAGTTTTCAAGGCATATATATTTAACAGGAAAGGCTGTTGTTATGATGTACTAGAAGGCAGAAATCACAAGCTGAAGGTCCAGAAAATAGCTTTAAGTAAGTTTAGCAATTCAGGTAGACAACCGTACCAAGTCCCTTCACTCAAGTGAAACCTTTCAGCTTGACCTTAGACCACTCTCTGGCTTTCATTACTTACCTTTTGTGGTAAATGTGGTTAAGAGATTAGTCACTCCCTTTAACTTTTTAAACGCAGCAGCAAACGTGATCTGGATGTCTCCTTGACCTTGCCTCATAAATTTATAACTTAGATCTTCACCACCTAAGTCTCATTTATAATCTCTACTATTTACTCACTTTACCTTAATGGCAGTGATGGCAAAGGCTATTTTCCGCCGCCCATCGATGTTAGTGTTGAGTACTCGCAAAATGTGCTGGAACTTTTCGGGGATCACTAGAGACTGATTGAAAGACATCGGGAGGAGAAATCAGACACTGTGAACCACCATCAAACCATAAGGCCCTTAAGACGAATGAATAACCTCAAACGGGTACGCCAAGTTTGTCACACAGGGAGCAATGACCCCCTTCACGTTTTCACATCACGACAAACTCCTCATTCCTGCAGAGAGCAGGAACACGAAGCGTTTAGGCCTAAGAAAATCCAACCTCTGGAAAGGGGGCAGGTCTCCTGCCGGTTCCCAAAAGTATACTCTGCGTAGAGGTGGCCGGAGGTCCCCACACACGCCTAAACCTTTCGCTGCTTTCATGCATCCGGGGAGTGACCCTTCCTCGGGTCCTGTTCCCCGAATCTGGAAGTCTTTGGTCATCCATTCTCAGGGGCGCAATCCAAGGCTCCGCACAGAAAGTTGCAGGCCTCTAGGATAGGGCGTTCTTGGCCCTCTGAGAGTAGACCTTCCCTGCCCCGGCTCCGATGCAGCCAGATGCCGACCCGGATCCCATGCTTACCATGGCTGCAACAGGAGCGGCGGCGTGTAGCCCTCCGGTGGAAGAGAGAGCGGAAGTGACGCAATACACTTATATAGCTCTCTGGCGGAAGGGGCGGAGCTATCTAGGAGGGGCGCTTCCTGAAAAGGCTTCAGCACAAATTGGCCAGCCTTCTGACGAGCTGACTTTGGCGCCACAACTTCCGGTTGTGTCTTCTCTTTACTGTCCGTAAAGTTCATAAATATGACAGCAAAGAAGGTTCCGAGGCGAGATTGTACTTGAGACTTCCGCACTCCCGTTTGTGCTTAGGTGAAGCGGTTAGAGTTGAAAGGGGAAGGCTGGTGTTAAACAATTTAACTCAATTATCTGAGAACGGGTTTGCGTTGTGCAAGACTCTCTGGAACGGACTTGCCGGGACTGACAGCTGCCGGAAGTGAGGCTGTGCGTAATGGCCGCCGCTGCGACCATGGCGGCTGCCGCTCGGGAGCTGGTGTTGCGAGCCGGGGCCTCGGATATGGAAGAGGAGGAGGGCCCGCTGGTGAGAGCGCGGGGCTGTTTTCCTCTCCTGAGCTCCGCCTGGGTCGCCTAGAGTCAGAAAGTCCCAGGCTGGGTTTAGGCACAAAAGTGTGGGAGCTCGGCTGCTACCGGTGACGGTACCTGTTTGGCTCCCCATGCTGTCTTCCTGGGATCGGACCTGAACCTGAGCGAAGATCAGAATAGCCATGACTCAGGTTCCAGGGGCACAGTTTCAACCCCCCCAGATTTTTGGGCAAAACAGAGAAGCAGTATAGAGTAAAGGTTAAGAACACGGCCTCTGGAGTCAGACAGCCTGGGTTCTAATTCCAGCTCTGCCACCTACCCGCTGTGTCTTTGGGCAAGTTAACCAGTTTCTTTCTTCTACAAGGTATCGAAAGTAATAAAATAGTATCCATCGTATAGGTTGTCTTGAGGATTACTTGAAGGAATATATGTAAAATGGTACCTGCAACGCAGATAAACTCTGTAAATTTTAGCTGACATTTCTAGAAAGGCTGGAACTTCCCAGAAGGATGATGATACAATATGCGAGATAGCAGGAGTCTGGAAGTTGTAAATTCAACTGCAGGATCTGCTCAGTTCTTCGCAGCTGCTAATTTTCCCCAGACACCTCCACCCTCTTCATGGATTACCTGCTTCCTTTGTCGTGTTTCCTGCCCACAAACCCAAAATAGTAGATGGGGTACAGAGTGAGACTCTTGGAGTTTTTTGACTCAGTACTCATTACTCTCCAGTGAAAGGCCCCCTCTCCCACTTGGAAGACTGGGGACATCCTCTTATAGTTTGTTCTTCTCCTTCTCCTTGTACCCTTTTCTCATTAATCTTTTCTTTTCCAGGGCAGTGGTCCTGGGCTTCAGGAGCCACTGCAACTTGGGGAGTTGGACATCACTTCTGATGAATTCATCTTGGATGAAGTGGATGGTAAGTGATGGCACCGGGCCTATGGAGAGCTGGAAGTCAATGCCTATAATCTAAGAGGCAGTGGGTACCAGAAGGAATAAGACAGGGACTGGTGTGCAGATACTCAGTGTGGGGAGAGGGAGCTGTGGATCTGGGCCCTTATGATAACTTTCTATTTCCAGTTCACATTCAGGCAAATCTGGAGGATGAGTTAGTAAAGGAAGCTCTTAAAACGGTGAGGCTTTTCACTGTGCTAATCTGCTCCCTCACCTACCCTCCCCGCAAAGAAAAAAAAAAAAACAGTCTCTTGTTCTCATGACATGATCCTGGTGTCCCACCCTCTAGCCCTTTGTTGATTCTGTTCCAGTGTTCCTTTGCTGCAGCTTTCTCTTGACCTGTCACCTTTGTGTTCTCCTAGGGTGTGGACCTCCGTCACTATTCAAAGCAGGTTGAGCTGGAGCTACAGCAGATTGAGCAGAAATCTATTCGAGATTGTATCCTCCAGCAGAGGGCGGGAGTGGTGTTATTGACATAGGGATTTTGTAGGGTGTGGTGCAAACAGCCCAGCTAAGGCTGAGATTTCTGTGAGGTTTCTGTCACCTAGGGAGAAATCAGAGAGGTCCTGCAGGTCTGAGGATCTCCGTCTTCACTAGGAGGCCCCTTGACTTTTTGTGGGTCAGATATTCAAGAGAGCGAGAACATAGCATCTCTGCACAACCAGATCACAGCCTGTGATGCTGTCCTTGAGGTTAGTAACCATGACCTGTGACCCCTAATGAGCCTGAACTGGTCTAAAGCTTTTGGTCCCATTTTTTAGGTCATTGGCCTTAGGCGGGGACAGGTTAGAAGCATTTTCAGGATGACCTCAGCGACCGTTTTTGTTGTCACTGCCATAGCCGATATTCTTTGGGATACTTGTTGCCTGATCACCTCCCACACTCACAAACTGATAAATACTAGGGACTTCACCAAGAGAATTAAGTGGCCTACTTGTCCCCTACCAATCCTGTGGTGCTCCAGCAGCATTTACTCTCCCCCCAGCGCATGGAGCAGATGTTGGGAGCTTTCCAGAGTGACCTCAGCTCCATCAGCTCTGAGATCCGGACATTGCAGGAACAGTCAGGAGCTATGAACATTCGTCTTCGAAACCGCCAGGCAGTTCGGGGAAAACTTGGGGAGCTTGTTGATGGTCTGGTGGTTCCCTCTGCCCTAGTCACGTGAGTCACCAGTTTGAAGGGTCACAATGTCTATGGCAGGTAGAGGCTGGGGTGACCTACCCTACTTACCACATGGGTCTTCTGGGTCCTGGTTATCAAGAGCCTGCCAGAAGTTGGTGGGTGGGTTGACAGTCTTTTCTAACTGTGATATGTGCTTTAGGCATCAAAGATTAGGAGTTGTCCAGGCTCAGATATTAGTGGGGGTGTCCAAGGCTTACATGCAGAGTCTAGGAGCATAAAACTGTACACATAACCTGACTATATGATACAGTGTAAGAAGGTACAAGAGGCAGAGGCTGGGTGTAAGGGGTTTGTTTTGTATCTAGTCTAGGGATGTCTCGTCTCCCACCTATCCCACCTCACTTTTCCCTGCTTCCCAGGGCAATTCTGGAGGCTCCAGTGACGGAGCCCAGGTTCCTGGAGCAGCTGCAGGAGTTGGATGCCAAGGCAGCCGCCGTCAGAGAGCAGGAGGCTAGGGGCACAGCAGCCTGTGCAGACGTCAGAGGCGTGCTTGACCGCCTCCGGGTCAAGGTGGGGAGTAGGGGTGGATACCCAGAGACTGCTAGACCCAGCCTCCCTAACCCCTTCACCTTGGATTTCCCTGGCAGAGCTCACTGAAGCTTGCCCCCAAGAACTTTGCCCTGCCTTTACCCAGCATAGCTCATTTTCACTTCTCTGGGTTCCCCTGAAAATCTTCAGAAATCCGGAAGAGGTGTTTTCCACCTCTCCTCTTCTATTTAACATCTCTCACTTCCCCCAGTTCCCCCCAGACAGTAAGAGGGTTGCAGCTTCATGTCTTGTGTTTGGTTGTCCATGTCTAGGCAGTGACGAAGATCCGAGAGTTCATCCTCCAGAAGATTTATTCCTTCCGAAAACCAATGACCAACTATCAGATCCCCCAGACGGCCCTGCTGAAGTACAGGTCATCACCTGAAGGAAGGGCATGTGGTCGTCTCTGAGCTTTTGAGCAGCCCAGTGTGGGCATCTGGTTTCTGGGCAGACAGGGAGACTGACTTGTCCCTGGCCCTCCAGGTTCTTCTATCAGTTCCTGCTGGGCAATGAGCGAGCAACAGCGAAAGAGATCAGAGATGAGTATGTGGAAACGCTGAGCAAGATCTACCTATCCTATTACCGCTCTTACCTGGGGCGGCTCCTGAAGGTGCAGGTGAGGCCAGGGAAGGCATTCCTGGGCACATGGGCTGGGAGGAGGCAACACTCTGGACAAGGAGGAACCATGTAGAGAGGAATTTTTTATTGCTCCGTGGGAAAATATGGTTACCAGCTTGCTTTTCTGTTTTGTCTAGTATGAGGAGGTCGCTGAGAAAGATGATCTAATGGGTGTGGAAGATACAGCAAAGAAAGATATCCAAGAACTGAGGAACCTTCATGTCAGGCCCTTGAGAGTGGGAGGGCTTTTGGCTGCCACTGCCTCCAAGGCACTGCTTCTTACCTTTTTTGTGGGACAAAAACCTTTGAGAATGTGATGAAAGCTATGGCCTCCCTCCCCGCAAAAATGCATGTATAATTTTGGCACATGGTTTTGCATGTGATATCGGGATGTGGACACACCCTGAAGCCCATTCATAGGTGCCAGGTGAAATGGTCCTGGTACTGGGAAAGAGGACTAGTGTGCTAAGGAACATCTAGGCCTTGCCTGGCTGCCTGGCCCCCCGGAAGTATTGAGTCTTTGGGCCCAGTTGTGGTCTCATTGTTTTCCTTGACTCTGACGCTTTGCACGATTTTTCTCGAAGCCATCACTTCGCAGCAGGAACACCATCTTTACCCTGGGGGCCCGTGGCTCTGTCATCTCCCCCACTGAACTTGAGGCCCCCATCCTGGTGCCCCACACAGCCCAAAGAGGAGAGCAGAGGGTATGAGGAGGAACAAGCTTCAGCCACAAAGGGGACTCTGGACATGGGGGAGATGGGAAGGCCGGGCCTTGGGGCAAAGCTTCCCATCCTGCAGGCCTGGTGTATCAATTGCTTAGACCTGGGAGTGGCCTTCTCCAGTGACCCTGGTGTGCTGTGGTGTGAAAAGGGTTGGGAACCATTGATTTAAGGGCACGCAGAGGGGAGAGAGAAGCTGAGGGGAATGGTACGTCGTGAGGCAGATGCAGGTGGGGTTAGAGGTTTCCTCTCATGCTCCTTATTCTCCCACACTTTTTTGGTGCCTGTTCAGGATTCTGTTCCACAACCAGGACTTGGGTTGGATGGGGATGAGACCAGTGGGGAGGGTCTCGAGCTCTTATTATGCAAGTTTGCTAAGTTTCCAGCCAGATATGTGAGCGATCAATGTTGGGCTCCATCCTTTCTCTCTTTACCTTTCCCCTCCTAGTATCCATATGAGGCCCTCTTCCGCAGCCAGCACTACGCTCTCCTAGATAATTCCTGCCGTGAATATCTTTTCATCTGTGAATTCTTTGCTGTGTCTGGCCCAGCTGCGCACGATCTCTTCCATGCTGTGATGGGCCGAACGCTCACCATGACCCTGGTAAAATCTCTCCTGCGCTCTTAAAATTCCTTTGTCCTCAGTCCTCATCAGCACCACTGTGGGGTCATAACTCTGGTAGTACTGAAAGCAGGATTCCTCATTCTAAGACATCTAAGCCTTGTACCCACAGTGTGACTCCCATGAAACCCTCACAGCTTGGGGTCCCTGAGACTACCTCATTGCTGATTCACACCCAGGCAATAGCCGCTGAAAACTGAAGTGCTCCTAAGCCTTGGTTGTCTAACCCCTGGCCCATTCTCAGCCCTAAATTCTGCTGTGACAGGTCATGATCATAGATCCTGGTGAGCAAAGCAGCAGGACCACCTGAGTGCACAGGGGAGGAGGAACTATTTTCCTTTTAGGTCTCTCTCTGCCTGCCAGTGCCTTATCCTCAGAAAAACACATGTATCTGTCCACAGCCACTGAGGATGACAGACTAACAAACATTTTCTTCCAATTCTTTGCTTCTCCCTACATCACAGAAACACCTGGAGTCCTATCTAGCTGACTGCTATGATGCCATTGCTGTTTTTCTCTGTATCCATATCGTCCTTCGATTCCGCAACATTGCAGCAAAGAGGGACGTTCCTGCCCTGGACAGGTCACTGAGTTCTGGTCCTTGGTCCCTGCTTGCCTTGAACTCTCAGCCCTACACAATTTCCTCTAAGCCTTGGGCTCCTACTGACCTGATATCATTGACCCTTGTTCTGTTCATCTGCCCTGGAGGCAGGACTGCTGCTTTCTGACTCACTTTTCACACACGCTCTACCATCAACCATTCGCCTGAGGGATGCCCCAGAATCGGACAGCCCCCCCCCACCATGCCCTACTTCCCCTGCAACTTATCTTGCCAGCTGACCTCTGATCCCATTTAAGCCTACAGGTACTGGGAACAGGTGCTTGCCTTGCTGTGGCCTCGGTTTGAGCTGATCCTGGAGATGAATGTCCAGAGTGTCCGAAGCACTGACCCTCAGCGCCTTGGGGGGCTGGATACTCGGCCCCACTATGTGAGGGAGGGCAAGGGTAACATGGGTTCCTGAAGGGCTGTGGGGATTGGCCAGGGTCAGTGTTGGGTTGTGGGCCTGGCTGAATATTTAGCCACACTGTGTGAGGGGGCAGTCTAGGAGTGTGGCCAGGCTCCAGGTGGGTTGGGCACCATTTGTAGGAGGGATTAGAGGTGCAGTCAAAGGGAACCAGGTGGCTGGCTCTGAGGGAGTTGGGAGGTTGTATCAGTTGGGTCAGGGGATTGGTGTGATTTTTCCTCCCACCTTCTTCCCAGATCACACGCCGATATGCGGAGTTTTCCTCTGCTCTTGTTAGCATCAATCAGACAATTCCCAACGAGCGGACGATGCAGCTGCTGGGACAGCTACAGGTGAGGGAGGGCAAGAGAGACCTCCCAGCAGTGGGCGGACTGCTGCCGTGGGCTGGAGTGTGAGGAGGACCGTGGTGACCCTGTCTGCTTGTGTCTCCTCCTCCTTTTGGCTTTTTCAGGTGGAGGTGGAGAACTTTGTCCTCCGAGTGGCAGCTGAGTTCTCCTCAAGGAAGGAACAGCTTGTGTTTCTGATCAACAACTATGACATGATGCTGGGTGTGCTGATGGTAACACAGACCCCCTTCTCCCTACCCAGAGGATTTGGTTTCCCCCAGTGCTCTAGTAGCTCTGAGGGCCGAGATTATGCCTGTCTTGTTCAGTGTTTTATTCCTGGAGTCTAGCACAGTGTCTGACTAAGTCCATAAGTGTGGAATAAAGAGGATACCCCGAGTGAAGGACTGCTTCTCTCCAAGCTTGAGATTTCCCTTTGTCTTCCCTCAGGAGCGGGCTGCAGATGACAGCAAAGAAGTTGAGAGTTTCCAGCAGCTGCTCAATGCACGGACGCAGGTAGGGGTGTGGGGAAAAGAAAAAGGACAGCTCTGTGTGCTGTTATCAGTTTATTGTGTGTATGTGTGTAGAAGGTGGCACTGAATAGACCTCAGTATGTAGAATTTTTTTTTTATTTTATTTATTTTGTTGTTGAGAATACACGCAGCAAAATACACCAATTCAACAGTTTCTACATGTACAACTCGGTGACATTGATTATATTTCTTGAGTTGTGTAACCATTCTCACCCTCTTTTTCTGAGTTGTTCCTCCCCCATTAACATAAACTCACTGCCCTGTAAGGTTCCTGTCTAATCTTTTGAGTTGTTGTTGTCAGTTTGATCCCATGTAGATAGTTCTTAAAAGAGTACAATTCTCAAGGCATTGCATTTTTTACTAGTTAAAGTAAACTGCTATTTGGCTTTAAGAAGACTTGAGGAGATATTTTTGGCTTAAGGTTTAACGATTATCTCAGGGCAGTAGTTTCAGGGGTCAGTACGTAGCTTTGGAATGATTGTAACTCTTGGTGCACATCACACTGTCATCATTGGTCTATTTCATTTTATTTTGATTTTTTTTTTAATGATACAAACACCCACAAACCCACCACATAATCCAAGAGCTGACACCTTGGCAATAACCTACATTTAACTATGAAGTTTTGCTCACCCTATCTCTTGCCTCTCCTGCAGAGGTAGCCGCTAACCTACATGTTGTGTTTATCATGCCTTTGATTTTTAAAATATAGCTATATGTATGCCAAAGTAACATATTACTTAGTTTTGTCTTGAGTGTTAGGAAGAAAGAATCGTATGGTTTTTCTCATGGGTAATATCATCCTGTTTTATACATGTCTGTATTTTATTCTTTTTCACTGCTGTGTAATAATATATTGTGTGAATATCCATATCCTTTGTAAGTGGACACTTGGGTTGTTGCCAGTTTTTTTCCATTGTGAGCATTGTTTTATAAACAACCCTGTATGTGTTTCTTAGCACACATAGCTGTAGATAGCCTTTATCAAAATTTTCTCTTGAGAACAAAGTTTATTAGTGGTTACCAGGAGGGATAAGGAGGGGAGTGTTAAAAAAAATTTTAAAAATGGTATGTGGATGTCATCAGACCTCCTCTAACTTCAAGAGGGGGAGGAATGATCAGCATCAGCCCAAGGCTGATTCCTATGAGGAGGAGGTTAGACATAATTCTTCTTTCCAAACTTTTTATGAATTCTAACACCAGCTGTCCCTCCACAGCACTCTCTATGTCTCTGCTGGGTTTGATAATTTGTTGCAGTGGCCACATAGAACTCACAGAAAATACTCATGATTATGGGGTTATTAGGGAAGGAACAGTTTACAATTCAGGATCAGGAGCAACAGGCTATAACTTGGGATCAGCATCCGGACACATGTAGGCAGTCTGCCTTCTTCAGTGCAGAACAGCTAGCTCTTCTCGGCCATATGAGGCTCCTCTCAGCCCCCACAGGACAGGCTCCTCTCGGCCCCCTCATGATAGGCTCCTCCCAGTCACCTCAGGACAGGCCTCCTCTCTTGGCCCTCAGCCTCCGCTCAGGCCTAGCCTCTGCCCTGCTCAATCAAGTGTCTGCCCTGCTTAGTCAAGCGTTGCTAAGCTCTTTTGCTCCATTGGTAAGTGCCCAGAGGCACCCTGCTCCGCCAGGAAGCCTCATGCCTGAAGGCATTCAGCTCTCTCACTCTGTGGGTTGGCATGCTAACTGTAGCTACCTTGCTCCATGGGCTGGGAAGCCCACTGTGCCGTCTCAAACCAGTCTCCTTGTTCTGCTGCCACTGTTTCTCTGCTGCAGCTTTTCACTGTCTTTCGCTGTCTCTGTTGTTGCAGCTCTCTCACTTTGTTTTGTGGGTCTAGGAGGTTCCCAGTGCAGGGAACCCGGGTCCAGAGGATGTGCTCCACTACTGGCTCTTCTTTCTGGATGGTAGTGAAGTCCCCTTTCTCCACCTCTGGGATGGCTCATTTTAAGGCTAGTGGAATAGCAAAACTAACCAATCCCCTCATTAGGGTACCATATACCTTATTTGCATGGTCCCACCCCTGCAAGTTTCTGTGTACCTTATTTGCATTGTTAGCAAGCCATCCAATCCCCTTGGTGGGCTACAAGTGCCTTATTTGCATAGTCCCCCCCGCTCATGGTTGTTAGAAGACCATGAATGGCAAGAAGGGCCATATTAAGTAATTCACTGCACAGCAGGGGGAAGGGAGGAGACATTGCTTAGGGGACACTGAGTTTTTGTTAATGTTGATGGAATAGTTTGGAAATGGACAGTGGTGATGTTACACAACATGATGAATGTGATCACTATTAAAAAATTGTACATGTAAAAAGTATTGAATTGGCAAATAGTTTGTTATATATACTTTTAGCCACAATAAAAAAAGTTTCTCTTGGATGTACATCTAGGAGTAGGCTTGCCAAGTTACAGGGCATGCCAATATTCTACTTTGTTAGATAATACTACATTTACTAATGAGATTGAGCATTGTTTCAAATATTCAGTCACCATACAAGTTTTTTTCTATAAGTGTTTTAAAAATTTAAAAATTGTAAATTAAAAAAATTTGAAATTGGATTGCTTGTGTTTTTCTTTTTGATTTATAAGAGTTCTTTATATATTCTCTGTACCAGTCCTTTGTGGATTATATGGGTTGCAGATATCTTCTAGCATGCATGTTAATTTTTTACGTTGTCTTTTAATGAACAGAAATTCCTGATTTTAATATAGTTGAATTTATCAATCTTATTTTTGGCTCTTACTGAAGAACTCCCTCACTACCCTAAGGTCTGAAAAATATTATACTACATTTTCTTCTTACTATTGTAGAAATTTGCTTTTTCACTTTTAAGTCCCAGATCTTCCTGGGATTGATTTTTGTATATGATGTGATGTAGGAATCTAATTTAATTTTTTTCTGTATGGATAGTAATTGACCCAGAACCATTTATAGAAAATTTCTTTCTCCACTTGATCTGCACTGCCATCTTCATCATATAGCAAAGTTCCTCAAAGGTGTCCATTTTGCCTCTGTTCTATTCAATTGATCAGTTTGTCTGTTCCTACAATAATTTTAATTATTATGCCTTATAGGAGAAGTTCTCTTGCCTTCTTTTTCAACAGTGTCTTGACTATTCTGGGCTTTTTGATTTTCCATATAAATTTTACAACACTTTCATAAGTTTTAAAAAATAAAAAAACTTTAAGGAGTTTGTTTGGAATGACATTAAATCTATATAGATCAGTTTGGAAAAATTGACACTTTATAACGGGTTCCCTCTCCATTTATTCAAAAATTCTGTAAATGTCTTTTGATAGCTTTTGTAATTTTCTACACAAAGAATTTGCAGATCTTTTGTTAGATTTATTCCTACGTAGGTGTAATATATAGATGTATGCCTGCTATAAATAAATAAATCTTTTCTAGTTCTTATGTCTTTAATCTCTTACTCTACTGGCTAGTAGCTCCAGTACAATGTTGAAGAGTTGAATAGAAGTGGTGATAGTGAGAACTGTTAACCCTTTCCCTGATTTTAAAAGGAATGCTTTCATCATTTCCCCAGTAAGAATAATGTCCTACAGATAACCCTTTTTTGTAGATAACCCTTTATCAAGTTAAGAAAATTCCTTTCAATCCCTAGTTTGCTAGGAGTTATTACTATAGTTATTCCTACTACAAACAAACCTGCGTTTATTTATGAATAATGACTAGGACTAATACTAGGAGCCAGTAGGAATAATTACATTTTTCTTTCTAATTTGTTGGACTTTGTACTCTATTCTTTTAGAATTTGTCCTTTAAATTGTTGGTATTTAAAGAGTATCTTTTTAAAAAGATGGTGTCTTGTGTTTAGAAGTGAGATATAGAAATGTTACTGATTTGTGTATGTTGATCATACAGCCAACCACTTCCTAAACTGTTATTTCTAATAACATGTCTGTAGATTTGTGTGTCTTGTTTTCTGTGTAAGCATCCATCATCTAACAATTATGACAGTTTTAGTTCTGCTTTTGTAATCCTAATTTGTTTAATTTCTTATGTCTTTAATCTCTTACCATACTGGCTGGTACCTCTAGTACAGGTAGTCCCCAACTCATGATGGGGTTCTGTTCCAACAACTCCGTTGTAAGTTGGTTCTGATGTAAATTGAATACCTTTTTTTTTAAAATTATTATTGCCTTTTATTGTCAGTGTCTTTATAAACCTGGCAGTGTTTTGAACAGTAAATCATAAAATTGAACATCTGAGAATGATAAACATCAGCAAATTACAAGTTGCAACATATTACCAAGATGTACCAAAAAAAATGACAGTCATAATTGTGGTCTGTTGCAACTGAATTCTTCGTAAGTTGGAGACTACCTGTACAGTGTTGAATAGTTCATGAGAAGTGATAATGAAAACCCTTACCCTTTTCTTGATTTTGTAAGGAATGCTTTCATCATTTCCTCATTAAGAGTAATGATGCTCTAGGTTTTTTAGATAGGCTTTATTAACAACAACAACAAAAACCCGTTGCCGTCGAGTCAATTCCAACTCATAGCAACCCTATAGGACTGAGTGGAACTGCCCCATAGTGTTTCCAGGGAGCACCTGGTGGATTCGAACTGCCAGCCTGTTCGTTAGCAGCTGAACTCTTAACCACAACACCACCAGGGTTTCCAGCCTTTACTGGGTTTAGAAAATTCCTTTCAATCCCTAGTTTGGGTGTTGAATTTTGAATGAAGAATGGATGATGTGAGATCCTGTGTTTTTTATCTGTTACGTGATGTGTGACATTTATAGATTTCAGAATGTTAAGTCACACTGGATTTGGGTTGCTAATTTGTTTAGAATTTTTGCTTCTCTGTGTATGAGTGAGATTGGCCTGTGATTTTCTTTTCTTGTATTGTCTTTATGTGGTTTTGGAACCAAGGTCATACTGGATTCATAGAAGGTGGTGGGAAGCAAGTATTCTTTCTTTATTATGGAAGAATTTAAGATTGAAATATTTTCTTCAAAAGTTTCATAGAATTTGCCAGTAAAAGCACCTGGGAAGATTTAAAGCTATAAAATTCCTTCTAATGACTTCTTTCATTGCATTCTGCAGTGAAATATGTAGCATTTTCATTATTGTTCAGTTTTAAGAATTTTTGTATTTCAATTATAATTTCCTCTTTGATCCACGGGATTTTTGGAATTTTTAACAAATTTCAAGATGTAGTTTTTCTTATTTATCTTTTTGTTACAGATGTCTAACTTGATTGCATTGTGGATAGAGACTGTGGTCTCTTTTGTACCATTTCTTTAAAATTTGTTTAGATTTGCTTATGGCCTAGTATGTGATCAACTTTTGTACATGTTCCATGTGTGTTTGAGAAGAATGTGTATTCTCTGATTGTCAGGTGTGGAGATGAAGCGTTTTAATTGTGTTGTTCATATCATCTATATTTTTATTATTTTTTGTCTATCAATAGGTGAGACAGATACATTGAAATCTGTGGGTTTATCACTCTCTCTCTGTAAATCTATTAAATTTTGCCTTATATCGTTTTCAGCCTATTTTATCTAAAATCTTAAAAACTTAGAATCATTGAAATTTAAACTTATTTTGATCTTACTAGTGACGTGAACCATTTGTCATTTTATAATGATCCTCTTTATCCCTAATAATTTTTTTGTCTTAAAGCCCATTATGTCTGATATTAACATAACTCTGCCAACTTTATTTTGGTTATTATTTGCTTGTTATATATATTTCCATTCTTTTACTCTTAGCCTTTTTGTGGTCTTAAATTAAGTATCTTTTGTAAATAGCATGTACCTGGGATTTTTTTTTTTAATCCAATTGGATTATCTCTGTCTTTTGTTATGTGAGTCTAATCCGTTTATGCTAACCAAAAGGTCGGCAGTTCAAGTCCACCAGCCACTCTCTTGAAAAATCTATAGGGCAGTTCCACTGTGTCCTGTAGGGTTGCTGTGAATCAGAATCGACTCGATGGCAACCAGTTGGTTGGCTGGTTGGTTCATCCATTTATGCTTACTGTGGTTAATGTTATAGTTGGGCTTTTTTCTACCACCTTTGGTTTTCTATCTGTGTCTTCTATGCTTCTTGCCTTTGTTTGCTTTTCTTACTACAATTTTTTTCTAATCGTTGGACTTTGTGCTCTATTCTTTTAGAATTTGTTCTTTAAATTTTTTTTTTTTTTTAATATTTTATTGTACTTCAGGTGAAGGCTTACAGAACAGATAGTTTCTCATGTAACAGTAACACACATGCTGTTTTATGACATTGGTTAACAACCCC